TTTTTATGACTTTTTATGCCTTACTATACTATGACTTTTTTTATGACTTTTTATGCCTTACTATACTATGTCGGTTTTATGACTTTTTAAGCCTTACTATACTATGACTTTTTATGCCTTACTATACTATGTTGTTTTTATGCTTTACTATACTCTGACTTTTTATGCCTTACTATACTGTCATTTTTATGACTTTTTATGCCTTACTATACTATGACTTTTTTATGACTTTTTAAGCCTTACTATACTATGACTTTTTTATGACTTTTTATGCCTTACTATACAATGACTTTTTTTATGACTTTTTATGCCTTACTATACAATGACTTTTTTTATGACTTTTTATGCCTTACTATACTATGACTTTTTTATGACTTTTTATGCCTTTTTATGCCGGACTATACTATGACTTTTTTTATGACTTTTTATGCCTTACTATACTATGACTTTATGACTTTTTATGCCTTGCTATACTATGACTTTTTATGCCTTGCTATACTATGACTTTTTATGCCTTACTATACTATGTCGTTTTTATGACTTTTTATGCCTTACTATACTTTGACTTTTTTTTATGACTTTTTAGACCTTACTATACTATGTCGGTTTTATGCTTTACTATACTATGACTTTTTAAGCCTTACTATACTATGACTTTTTTATGACTTTTTATGCCTTGCTATACTATGACTTTTTATGCCTTACTATACTATGTTGTTTTTATGACTTTTTATGCCTTACTATACTTTGACTTTTTTTATGACTTTTTAGACCTTACTATACTATGACTTTTTAAGCCTTACTATACTATGACTTTTTAAGCCTTACTATACTATGACTTTTTAAGCCTTACTATACTCTGACTTTTTAACGACTTTTTATGCCTTACTATACTATGTCGGTTTTATGCCTTACTATACTATGTCATTTTTATGACTCTTTAAGCCTTACTATATTATGACTTACTATTATGTTGTTTTTATGCTTTACTATACTCTGACTTTTTTATGACTTTTTAAGCCTTACTATACTATGACTTTTTTATGACTTTTTATGCCTTGATATACTATGATTTTTTTATGACTTTTTATGCCTTACTATACTATGTCGGTTTTATGCTTTACTATACTATGACATTTTTATGACTTTTTAAGCCTTACTATACTATGACTTTTTTATGACTTTTTATGCCTTGCTATACTATGACTTTTTTATGACTTTTTATGCCTTACTATACTATGTCATTTTTATGACTTTTTTTGCCTTACTTTACTGATGTTTTTATGCCTTATTATACTTTTTTTTTTTTGCAATACTATACTATGATTTTTTTTTTCCTTACTACACTGACATCTTTACACCTTAAAACAATATATTTTATGGCTTACTATACTATGGCCTTTTATACCTTACTATAGTATTTTTTTTTTCCTTACTACACTATATTTTATGCCTTACTATATTATGACGTTTTTACACCTTACTACACTATGACTTTTCTATACCCTACTATACCTTAATTATTTTTTTTGCCTTCCTATACTAGATTTCTTTTGTCTTACTACCATGACATTTTTATACCTCAGTGAGATTTGGACAGTGTGATGGATAAAACCAATTTTAAAATGTCACCTTGAGCTGTAATTCTAAGTTACAATGGGTATTTTTCACTAATCGATGAATTCATCATGAGAATAATTGTTCGCTGCAGCAAGTTTCCACAGAAGACTCAGTCTGTACAATGATAACCCCTGTCCTTAGACTGAACCTGCAGCATTAATAAAGAGAAGACAGCTGACTCTTATTGTGAAACTCTTTGCAACATAATATATATATATATATATATATATATATATATATATATATATAAAAATATTTTAACTTTCTCCTTATCAGAAGCTCCTCCTCAGACCTCAGTGTCTCCTCCTTCTCCCTCACGCCAAGACCCCCTTCTCCACCCTGAGCTGCTTCATAAAACACACACACACCGACAGCAGGAGATCCTGAGAGGCCTGGCTCAGCTACGGCAGGTAACAGTGTTCTTATAGTTGATATAATGCGTTCCCCTCACCCTTACCTTAACTGTCACGACTGAATGCCTGAAATTTGTCCACACAACCACAGAAAGACATATACACATATCCACACAGTCTGAAGTGTCACAATCAGGCCAGGTTACATTCATATGTCTGTACTAAACTGTACTCTAGAACCTGACCAATATCGAGCCTGATATTTTAAATATACTTATCATAAACATAACAGCAAAGGAAATGATCAGAACGCCTCAGATTTCCTTTAGACAGCCAACCAATGCCAGTGAGTGATTTTACTCGTATTCCAGTATTCCTGTTTTTTGGCCCAGTGCATCTCTATCTTTTTTTCTTCAGTATCAATTATGGTTGTGTTCTGTATCTCATTCTGTTTCTGATTTTGTGGTGAACTTCTGTGATGTCAGTGGTTAAAATATGGTTTTATTACGGAAAATTACATTATATTTCATAAACTGATAATTAACCGACTATTGATCATTAATGTGGCTGGCTATCAATTAACGAATTTACTTTAATACATTTCTTAAATAATTTGCATCCCTAGTACAAAGTGATGTTTATGTGTTTACAGGGTTTATTACAGAAGCAGAGGGAGCTGGAAGCGGACCTGAACCCTCTACTGAAACACCAGGACAAGGAGGTCCCGTCGCCCTCGGCAACACACCGCATGTGACCTCTGACAACTACACTTCACAGGTGGATGCTTTGTGTGTGTGCTGACAGTGATCTCTGAGTTTTTCTGAGCAGAAGTGACGCTGAATCAGCCGTCATGAGAACATTTAACAGAAAGCCTTCAGTGTTTTCTGGAGCTCATTCAGTCGTCCGACACCTCGACGCTCACTGAGTTTACTACATCAGAAAATCAACAAACGCACTGCAGCAGATTTTCAAAGTAAAGCTGATTGTGTCAGATTGAGTTTAAGTTTTGTGATGCCTGAACTCAAGTTTGGGTGAGAAACATTTTATGTGACGATTGTATTTTAAAGTTTTGTTCAATGCACTTTCCACAACACTGACACTATACCAGACAGGTATTGAGTTTTACCTTTTTCTTCCTGGGTTGGGGTTGCAGCAGAGGCGGCACCAGACTCCTCCACTTCCTGCAGAGGAGCAGTGCCAACTTATTTATATCATGATTGAGAGAAGTGTTTTTGTTTCTTCAGCTTCCTGCTGGCCGAGGAGCTTCATCTTTCACTTTATGCTTCTGTGTTGTGTAGTTTTTTTTATGGGTTTTACTGTATTAGTGTATTTTTTATTTATTGCAAATGTAATAAATGATGTTACGTGCAATGATCCATTCATTTTAAACTGCTTATTCTGGGGTCGGGTTGCTCTGGTTGCTTTATTTTGTTTTGACAACTTTATGATCTCTGAACTTCCTCCATCTGACATGATTCACTTGAAAAGTCAAAACTATGGCTGCAAAGAAAATTAATTGGCATTTTATAATATATATATATTTTACATATTTTATGGCATCATAAGACACTATCAGAGTTTTGTTGGTCAAACATGACAAGCAAAGTGAAGGCATCACTTAGGGCTCCAAGCACTTGTGAAGGGCATTTTTTTTTACTATTTCAACATTTCATAGACTAAATGATCAAGAAAATTAAATCAATAATGAACATAATAGTAAATTGCAGTATTAGTCAAGACATTTTCAAAACTCAACTTTCATGTGTTTATGACCTGTGAGTGTTTACAGTCACGTACAGTGTTGTGCTTTGAGGGTTAAAAATACTGACTGAAGATTCTTTAAGTCATATTTGGTAAAGATTTGGAAACTACTTAAAAGAAAATTCTGGTTTATTACAACTTGTGTCTAATTTTCATAGTTTCATTCATTTAATCAATCATTAAAAACATTGTACTCACCTGGTTGAGATCTGGGAACACGGTGAATTCACTGACGAGATGTCCGATGAGTTTACGTCTGAAACAATAAGATGGTTAATCAATAAGACGTTCAAAAGAAAATGAGTCGGCAGCTGTTTTAATAATTGTTGTCATTTTTTAAGCAAAAATGCCAATAATTCACAGACTCTGACTAACGATGTGTAAATATTTACTGGTATTTTTAGTCCTGTGTGATTGTATTCCTTTGGTTTTGGGTTAGGGTTAGACAAAACATTTAATTCAATTAGTTTATTTTCTGATATTTTATTGACCTAACAATTGATTAACTTATGGAAAAATTCATCAGAAATCAAATCCATGATATATATAAAAAATAAAAAAAAACAATAGTTGCAGCCTGATCATACTATGTATTACAGTAAGTGACTGACCTGGTTTTCTTGGCAGTGGGTCCTTTTGGAGGCACTTGTCTTCCTCTGATTTTTCAAACATACGTAGAACTGCTGGCACCAGTTTGGAGTTTGAAGCCGGCAACACTGAAACCCCTTCGTGGTACCTTGGAGGTCTCCTGGTGAGTCTTGTGTCCTACTGAACCACTTTGTGAGAAAACATGATCCGGTCTGCAAAAAAACCTGCAACCTGGGAGGAGATCTGTTTTCAAGCATAGAGCTACAGCTGCACAGGAAATACAACAACGTTAATGTCCTGGAGAGTCCAGGTCTCTATGCAATGGACACTTCATGACTTGAAAAAGGTTGTTCACTCAGCATCCCATGGAGGGAGCGAATACTTCTGCAAACATGCATGAATTTTTTTTATTCTGGATTTGTAATTAATTTAACATGTAAATAGTCTTTTTTTGATAAAAAAGTGTCAAAAGCTCGTTGAATTGATCTGCCACATAAGATCTATTTTAACTGTTGTAAAATAATAAAAATGAAAACTTCCAAAGGGAGTGAATACTCTTTCTAGACACTGTATTTGTCTGTAGATGTGGTTGGACGCAGTGTCTTTGAACTGGTTTATATTTGGTCTTTATGATCCTGCCCACACAGACACTAAAAACCTCAGCGGCCCTGAGTGGACATGGATGGATGGGATTTAATTCAAGACAAATTTTTTGACTAAAGATGTATTTTTATGGAGCTCCCAAAGACTCAGAATCAAGTTATTATCTTGTTTGTATCTATAAAAAAAAAAAAAGTTTAGTAAATGATGAAATAAAGGTGACTAAAGACAAAACAATAATAAATTCACCTGTCCCATGTCATGAAGACCTCAGACAGACTTCTAATCTCCACTGTGGAGTGCCTGAGCAATGATCTCTTGTCACCATTACGTGGTAAACTCAAAGTGAGACCAAGAAAACATTGAGGCAAACTCGCTGGTTTACGCAGGCAAGTTTAATACAAAACACCTCTGATGTAAAAAAAAACATAAAAAATGACTTTAAGTTAAAACCAGTCTGTTACAGAGTCACTTCCTACATACAACAGCAAATAAACACAAACGGCTCCTGGAGTAACAAACATTCAGTTCAAAAAAATATTTTTTACAAGACTTAAAGAGTGTCCACTGGAAGACGAGTAAGGCAGTCAGTCCGTCGTGTTCCTTTACAGTTTTGTGTTTTTTCATAGTCTCTGTCTCCACGCTAAGACCCAGGGTCTCTGTCTCCTCCCTCCTCCTGTCTTCAGTCTAGTATCTGTTCATATTTGGGATGTGTTTCTGCACACTCTGGTAACAGGCTCTTTAACCTGCTACCTGAGCTGCAGCAGGTGTGTGTGGGTTAGTGGAGCAGGTTACCTGGGTTGATCAGCTGGTGAATCTAAACTGGTCTCTACATCCCATTAAAGCCGCCTCTCTGCCCCCCTCGGTACCTGTTGCCGCCCTGACCTGCAGGGTTGTGGTACCCCCCCAGCAGTGAAGGACCAGTGCCAACTTGTTGGAAGCCCCAGACCAAGGAAGCAGCACCTGAAGGGCCCAGGCCCCCTGGCCAGACAGGCGTGGGCCCCAGGAGGCCCCTTGTGCGGCCAAGAGCAGTCAGGGGCCTCAGCATGGGACGTGGGGAGTAATGCTGGCTGTGGTGTCGAGGCAGGAAGGGGTGCTGCAGGAGGCTGGAGCCCCAGTGCTGCTGCTGCTGGCTGTGAGGTGGTGGTGGTGGGAGGTGTGACCGACTCGGCTGGAGCGGCTGTTGCTGGTTGTTGAGTTGCTGCAGATGTTGTTGGGGCTGTTGGAGAGCAGGATTTGGGTTGTCCTCCTGGTCTGTTACCATGGTGACACTTCCAGTTACCTTGGTGCCACTGGCTGTGCTGTTTCCAGGTGGTGCTCCCTCTCCTCTTATTGGCTGCTCCTGGACACCTCTCTGTGTGTCTCTGCAAAGAGAAAACATGACGAGGCTCAGCAGCAACATCAAGGCAAACTGCAGGAGTGGAGGTGTCGGGGTGGGCAGTGGGTGTTGATGTTAAAAACTAAAACAGCAGATCTATAATGTAAATGTCAATATGGCTGTGAGGGCGAAGTATTAAAGCTCAAACTTCTATGGTACAGAGTGAAATGATATGTACTCACAGTGCCAACATGAACCAGCACAAAGACACAGACCAGGACTTTGTTCACAGAATAAACTGAACTGTAGACAAAGAGCAGACTGTTGTGTTTCCTAACCTTGATCTGTCGCCCTCTACAGGACAGGAGGACGCTGCACAGTGTTTAGCTGCTTTGAGAAATGAAGGTTCGCCTTGTTGATCTGCTTTTTCTCTCCTGACACTGCTCGAGTCTCTGTGGTCACTTGGTCCCGTCACTGCAGCTGTGTTGTGATTGGATGAAGGGGTGGACATGTGACTATTATTGGGACCACGGTTTCCTCCCAAGAATCCTGCTGCCCTTCCTGGAGCACAAACTCCAGGCTCTCTTCCTCCTCCTCGACTTCTCCTCCTCTCTCCCTCTGTGGGAGGCTCCACTCTGTCCTTCCTCCTTTCCTCCTCCAACATTTCCAGCTGCAGTCCTGAGTGAATTAACTCCAGAGTGTCTGCCACTGCTTTCCTGCCAGGAGTCAGCTGGACCGACTCGGCGGGACCTCCCTGACCAACAGGAGGAGTGGTGTGACCGCCACCTGTACGAATGGGATTGGGAAGGAAGCTTCTGAGAGGGTTTATGCTTAACTCTGCCTGGGAGTCCAACTGCTGCTCCTGCTGCAGCTGAGCCTGACGCTCGGCCCGAAACTGAGAGATGGCCCGTCTAAGAACCTCCAAGTCTGCGTCTGAAGGTTGTGACACGCCGTCCTTACAGGAGGCGTCTGGGACGAGCTGGTCGGAGAGATGAGGGAGCGGGTGGGGACCGGAGCCGGGCTGCTGGAGGAGTTTTTGGGGTTGGTCCCCAGAGGAGAGGGGATGGATGTGTTCTGGGAAGATTGAGGGAGATCGATCTGAACCCGACACAGAGTCTCCATGACTCAGCTGCCTGCTGAGACCTGAGGACAGAGGAGAGCAGTCAGACAAGCGCAAAGAGACAGAACACAGGGAGAGACAGTAGAACAGAGACAGTAGATCAGGGACAGAGACAGTAGAACAGAGAGAGTAGAACAGAGACAGAGACAGTAGAACAGGGACAGAGACAGTAGATCAGAGACAGAGACAGTAGAACAGAGACAGTAGATCAGGGACAGAGACAGTAGAACAGAGAGAGTAGAACAGAGACAGAGACAGTAGAACAGGGACAGAGACAGTAGATCAGAGACAGAGACAGTAGAACAGAGACAGTAGATCAGGGACAGAGACAGTAGAACAGAGAGAGTAGAACAGAGACAGAGACAGTAGAACAGGGACAGAGACAGTAGATCAGAGACAGAGACAGTAGAACAGAGACAGTAGATCAGGGACAGAGACAGTAGAACAGAGAGAGTAGAACAGAGACAGAGACAGTAGAACAGGGACAGAGACAGTAGATCAGAGACAGAGACAGTAGAACAGAGACAGTAGATCAGGGACAGAGACAGTAGAACAGAGAGAGTAGAACAGAGACAGAGACAGTAGAACAGGGACAGAGACAGTAGATCAGAGACAGAGACAGTAGAACAGAGACAGTAGATCAGGGACAGAGACAGTAGAACAGAGAGAGTAGAACAGAGACAGAGACAGTAGAACAGGGACAGAGACAGTAGATCAGAGACAGAGACAGTAGAACAGAGACAGTAGATCAGGGACAGAGACAGTAGAACAGAGAGAGTAGAACAGAGACAGAGACAGTAGAACAGGGACAGAGACAGTAGATCAGAGACAGAGACAGTAGAACAGAGACAGTAGATCAGGGACAGAGACAGTAGAACAGAGAGAGTAGAACAGAGACAGAGACAGTAGAACAGGGACAGAGACAGTAGATCAGAGACAGAGACAGTAGAACAGAGACAGTAGATCAGGGACAGAGACAGTAGAACAGAGAGAGTAGAACAGAGACAGAGACAGTAGAACAGGGACAGAGACAGTAGATCAGAGACAGAGACAGTAGAACAGAGACAGTAGATCAGGGACAGAGACAGTAGAACAGAGAGAGTAGAACAGAGACAGAGACAGTAGAACAGGGACAGAGACAGTAGATCAGAGACAGAGACAGTAGAACAGAGACAGTAGATCAGGGACAGAGACAGTAGAACAGAGAGAGTAGAACAGAGACAGAGACAGTAGAACAGGGACAGAGACAGTAGATCAGAGACAGAGACAGTAGAACAGAGACAGTAGATCAGGGACAGAGACAGTAGAACAGAGAGAGTAGAACAGAGACAGAGACAGTAGAACAGGGACAGAGACAGTAGATCAGAGACAGAGACAGTAGAACAGAGACAGTAGATCAGGGACAGAGACAGTAGAACAGAGAGAGTAGAACAGAGACAGAGACAGTAGAACAGGGACAGAGACAGTAGATCAGAGACAGAGACAGTAGAACAGAGACAGTAGATCAGGGACAGAGACAGTAGAACAGAGAGAGTAGAACAGAGACAGAGACAGTAGAACAGGGACAGAGACAGTAGATCAGAGACAGAGACAGTAGAACAGAGACAGTAGATCAGGGACAGAGACAGTAGAACAGAGAGAGTAGAACAGAGACAGAGACAGTAGAACAGGGACAGAGACAGTAGATCAGAGACAGAGACAGTAGAACAGAGACAGTAGATCAGGGACAGAGACAGTAGAACAGAGAGAGTAGAACAGAGACAGAGACAGTAGAACAGGGACAGAGACAGTAGATCAGAGACAGAGACAGTAGAACAGAGACAGTAGATCAGGGACAGAGACAGTAGAACAGAGAGAGTAGAACAGAGACAGAGACAGTAGAACAGGGACAGAGACAGTAGATCAGAGACAGAGACAGTAGAACAGAGACAGGGACAGGACTTCATTTGTGAACATTTTTAGTAACTCCACTTAATTAAATTAAGACATTTCTCTGCCATTGCAGACTTTGTGTTGATGACTGATGAAGTCAATCTGAATGAGGTTTTCATTTATAATTATGGGAAATATTCAACAGGAAATGAATTTTTCTACTAAAAGTCGTCAGATGTTTAGTTTTTATTTGCTCTCCTCATGTCAGGTTTTCTTTTTTCTCTAATTTAATGAAATACATCTGCCACAACTGACCTTTGGTGGCCAGCAGGTCGTCCATGATTGGCTGCTTGTCCTTGATGTGATGGTAACCGACCAGTCTGGTGAAGCTGTGCAGAATATCCTCGATACTGGCCACGATGATGCCGCCATTGGAGTAGGCAGGGAACGTCTCAAAACGATGCTCTGAGTAAAATAAACCAGACCAGTAACATCAGAACAAGCAGCTAGTCAGGTCAGTCACTGAGTCACTGGTGCTGATTAACAACCAGCGGCGTGTCAGTGCTGCCACGTACCAGTCAGGAAGATGGTGTGTCGGTACTGTGTGTACCGGGCCTGGAGCTCGAGGAGACAGTCCAGGTCAGGTGACTGATGGTTCATCATGTCGCAGTGATGATAAGGGAGGAACTCAACGATCTGCCGCTTGTGATAGGTGGAGAGTAAGTCCACTATGTTGGCTGCATCTCTCCTGAACCTGACAACCCACCACACACACACACACACACACACACACACACACACACACACACACACACACACACACATCTAGAGACCGCTGCACTCTGGTGTAGCACACAGCTAACTGAGTGACTGTATCGCAAAACGTGTTCTTCCAGTACAGGAGCAAGACAAAGTAAAACACTAGGAGTAACAGAGATATTATGAAGGCTCGCATCAACATGAAACTACCTAATAAACAGATGTATAAATATGTTTTGTGCTGCAAACCTGTAGACGAGCAGTAAAACCCACACATCCTCTCTTAATAAAACAGTCTTAGAACATGTGTGGTGCAACTGACATGTCAATGATGAGATTCATGTCATGAAAGGCTAAGACACGTAGAGACGATGCCAGAAGCCTGTAAATCACAGGAGAGACAGTAAAAACAGGCTAGGTTTCTTAAGGTTAATAAAGTTTAAATTTCTATTAACTGAGCAAGAAACACAAGTGAAGCCGTGAATCCACTCAGTTATTCTTCTGTCTGCTCTCTTATGATGAAGGCCATCAACTTGTGCAGACACAGAATCAGTACCTGGTTTGTTCTTTTAATTTCTTGTGGGTTTTGTAGTGAACTTTCCACTTCCACACACTGTCTGGAGAACTGTGTTGTTCCAGGAAGATCATCAGTGCAGCCAGTCGACCTGCAGAACAACATCTCATTAATCCACACATCCATTAAGAGATTAACACAAAGCAACTCCACTAAGTAATGCATTTGTTTAATAAGTAAATATTTCTAACACAACATTATGTTATTTTTCCTCTATGTATTATGTATGCATTGTGTGAAAATAAGCTTCTCAATATTAGTCAGGTGTGTTAAGACTAGTAAGAGTAAAGAAATACATTCTGCTGGACCCTGTTATTGGATGTGAGTCTGTGACCTACCGTGAGTGATGAAGTCTGAACTGAGGACTAACTCGTCTGAGACGATGCAGCCTCCGGACACAAAGAGCTCGTTGTAGCTGTTGTTCCTGATGTCGTCCAGTGTGTCGATTCCCACAAATGCAACAGATGGATGTCGCTTCAGAGACACCAGGTTTGGGATCTGATGTGTACGCAAAACACACAAACGCATCTCCTGTTAGTTGATTTTCAGTCTGTCAGTCAGACCATCTGTCCAGCTTCAGAAGTAACAAGGGTAACTATGATGGATGGGGAGTTCCTTCTGGTGGCAGTATAGATCAAGATCTTACATAAACAAAGTCACCAGAAAGACATGTAGTCTCTGGTCCCAGCCTATATGTAGCGTCCAGCAGCCATGACTAATGCCTGAGACCTTGAGGTGAGGCTGCCTGACTGCTGAGCAGGTGGGATGAAGGAACAGATTTTACCTGCTGCCTCACAAACTAGTCTGATGTGTTAAACCGCTCAGTAGCGCCTCAGACTCTTGTTATGTCAAATGACGTTACCTGCTGAGTTGACACTTCACACTGGGAAGGCAGCAAAACACTGTGTCTCATTACAACATGAAATCTGCACAAATTATGCATGTTTTGTTACAGATGCAAACTCTCTCTGTCTCTCTCTGTCACCCTCTCACGATTTCTCCTCCCAAAACACAAATAAAAGCCTCACTAACAAAATATAAAATGTGAAAATAAGCAAGAGAAAGAAAAAAAAAAAAGGCATAAAGGAAAGAGAGGGTGATCATAAAAGTGAAACTAAGGCTTGGTGCAGACAAACGGATTTTCAAGTCTTCATTGATTGTAAAAACGTGGGAGGCCACAGACACAACGGCAGATTTATCTGATATTAATATTGTAACTGTAAGAAGGCACATTCAGTCAGGTGGGGGGATCCTCTCCAGAGACAGTTGCAGTGTTCGGGAGCAGCGGGGCATCGGTCTTCTCACACCAGGTGATAATGAAGTAATGCCAGGTTTATAATCACGTTAGTGCCTTTGGAACTTGCACCAAACAACCTTATCAGCCGGGGGAAACTGCTATTAAAGAGCACTTGCTAATGCAGACAAAGAGCTGATTGCAGAGCCCAGAGGCTCCAGCACAAATACAGACATGACTGGTTTATGTCGGTCCCCGAGGGACTTGAGTCAATTAGTCAGTGTACACGTCTGGCACAGTCTCGTCCCCACCCTGCTGTGAGAAGGTTGGCGCCACTTCTGAAGTGTATGAAAAGTTTGTTGGTTGGTTTGTGAAGAGACAGGTAACGAGGAGTTAGCTGAGTTGCAGTCAGAGGAACACCCAACATACTGAGTTTACTGTGGAGCTGTGGTGAAGTACGAAACTGAAACAGTCTGCAGAGCAGTGAACCAGCACAGACCACTAGGTCAGTGTAGTGGAAAAGTTTAGTGTGATTGTTTTTGTAACCTGTCCTCTTACTGTAACACAACAGTCCAGAACCAACCAGGTGATACTCATACCTGGAACATGCATGCTGCCTTTAGATCAGGAAAGGAGCAGAACCAGTAGTTAAAGTGACGCTTCACCTTGTGTATGTGTGCAGCGATGTCTTTGTTCTTAATGATGACCAGCAGTCTGTCGTCAGAGTTCTCCTGGTTCAGAAAGGCCACAGGACTCTGCTCCGCGTTACCCTGCTTCAACAGGTGTTCCTGCAACACACACACACACACACACACACACACACACACACACACACACACACACACACACACACACACACACACACACACACACACAACATTAAAAGTAATTCTACAACAACTTCAAATGACAGTCATCACATTGATTTATGGGGGATTTAAGTGCAGAAATTAAAATACATACATGCATATACAAATTAACATACTGCAGGTTTGTGACTGTGAGGTATTCTGCCCATGAAGTTACCTTGACGTCTTCATACACCTGGTCCCCAGGCTCTGTGCTGTGGAGGTAGAACTGCAGGGAGTTTTTCTTGACGTCTTTGATGATCTCCACCAGACTGCTGAACACCTCTGGCTGCAGCTGGCTGATCAGGGAGCTCAGGGCCGTGGCTGGAGGAGCGGGGATGGACACAGAGGCTGAGCTGGAGCCCAGCTCAGAGAGGTGTGAAGGTTCTGCCAAAGGCTCAGTCACACGACTGCACCCTGGGAGAGTCAATTCAGAGTTTGACCCTGGAAGACTACTCCCTCCTTCTCCATCATTCGTACAATATACAGTCCTGGTGACGCTGCTGTCTTGTGTTTGTCTGACAGAGTGAGCGAGTGTCCTGTTGATCTCTAAAGCGTGACTTTGCTGGTGTTGCAACTTGTTAGAAGGAGGATGGAGGGCGGCGGTGTCGGCAGGCTTGTGAACAGAACCAGATGAAGAGGTAGGAACAGATAAAGTGACATGAGAAGTTGGGGGGTTCCTGCTGTCGTTAGCATCAGAGGTCGGTCTGGTGATTGCATCTGGCCGCCTCACTTCCCCTCCTCTGGAGTGTGCAGGAGTCCGACTGACTGAAGCACTGCCATCAGCAGCTGTCAGTTCACCACAGGGAGCAGAATCCTCATCATCGCTGCCTGTTTTAGTGTTAGCTGCTCGGATGCTGGCCACAAACGCACTCACTGTGTTAGCCAACGCATTATCAGCATCAGTCCGGCTGGTGTCTGCACTTTGGCTTGGCCAGCTCCCACCAAACTCCATTAACATGCCATTAATGCTCTCCTGTAGGGAGCTAACATAGTCCTGGACGGGGGGACAGGGGTTGTAGAAAGACACATACTGGGAGAACTGAGATATGGAGGTGTGTGGAAGTGTGTGTTGAGGTGCGCTGGTTTCTGTCTTTGAAGTGGAGTGTGTGGACTGTGGGAAGCTGTAGTGAACGCTCTCATCCTGCAGGAGGAGCTGTATGTCAGAGGAGAAGTCGCCCAGATGTTTGTCCACAATGCTGTCAATATCTCTGGGAGGACGTGCAGGAGGAGGCGAGGAGATGGACCGGGAAAACACAGAGCGACCTATCAGTTCCTCCACGTCTCCCTTTGGCTTCTTTTCATTACCTACCTCATGTATCAAAACCACCTCCTCCACCTCATCTTGCATACTCTCTGTGGCCTCTTCCTCTTGTTTTTGCACCGTTTCTTTTTCTTTCTCAAGAAGCACTACATCTAACTCCTTCACCTCCCCTCTTTCCTCCTTTACATCCTGCAGTCCTTGCACAGAGGGCGGTGAGGGGCTTGGTCTCCTCTCTGTAGCTGGATGAATAGATGGCTGGATGGATGAAAAAAGGAATGGCTCTTCCTTCTTCTTTTCTTTCCCCTGAGGTTTCGCTTGTCTGTGCTTGGACACTCCTGCAGGGGAAACAAACAGCAGTGTGACGACAGAAGTCCTGACAGCTGTGGCATGACTGGAACTGAAGTGCAAAATGTGGCCAAGACAGAAAGCCCAACTCAAATAATGAGCTTTTTCACACCTTCATTTTAGTTGACTTTCAATCAGGCCCCTTCACACAAATACTTATTTGGTGTTTTGATATCTAAAAAATCGTTCCTAGGCGCTGGCTGCTGGTTGCTTCCTGAACAGATTCACTGGTCTGATATTATGGTCAAAATGGGTTTCGGTCACGGCCCCACTTTATGGAGTTAACAAATTCATTGAGTCTTGGTTGTTTGTCTTTTGGTTATAGGCATATATGTTTATGTTGGTAGGTATATATATACATTTCTTGTCTTTTTTCTGTTTAGATAAATCACTGGATTGCCTCCCAACTAGTTAATGCACACCTTGGTTAATATGCATCCTACTTTGAACTGCAAAATAGTTATGGGTAATTCTATTGGATACATACTGTCTTAAAAAAAAGGAAAAAAAAGATTTTGACATGGGAAGGTTTCTAGGCCTCGCAGTTCATTTTCTGCAGTCTTCAAATACTTGAAAGGCTATTTCTCTGTAATTGGTGAAATGTTCTCAATTGTCCCTTAAATAAAGAATTGCAACAAAATAATGAGCGTATTAGGTGAAGTGAAAAGACTTCTACAGTCAACGGTCAAAAGCAAGTAGTTTCTCTAAGATGTGCCAAATTCACAGAACTACTGACATCGACCTGAGCTCCAAGACTGCTTTCTGTCGCAAGAGTAAAAAATGCAACAGGAAACAAACTTGAATAAACTAGAATTTGTAAATTGATCACTATCTGTATCACCAGAAGTCAAAGTGAAAAAAAAAAGAGGAAGTAAAAAACTGGTTGGCATTACAGTCTAAAATATGAGGAGATGCACCAAGTAGAGGCTGAAAGCAGCTCAGGTTACCTGCAAACTCTCTGGAGGCTGTGGGGGCTAAATGCTCCTCGTTAGCACCACTGTTCACCTTGTTAAACGGGTGGTGATGATTAAGTTCCAGGGATGGGCAATGGGAAGGGGAGGGGGGGGGACTGGGCTGTGGTGAAGGGCACTGAGAGGGTGATGTGGGGGGACTGGGCTGTGGAGATGGGCAGTGAGAGGGAGAGACGGGGGGACTGGGCTCAGGGGACGGGCATTGAGACGGGGAAAGAGGGGGACTGGGCTCTGGAGATGGGCACTGGGAGGGTGACAGTGGGGGGCTGGGTTCAGGTGATGGGCACTGGGAGGGGGAGAGAGGAGGGCTGGGCTCAGGAGACAGGGTGGGGCTCTTCCTGGGGGTTTTGGTTGTTGTGGTGATGCTTGTTGCCGTGGTGAGATGCTGGAAGCGAGGATCCTGAGGGATGTTTCTGTCTCTCTGAGTGTATCGCTGTGAACACAGGCCTGCAGACAGAGTTCACAGTTAACTTCAACTTTCACTTTTCATTCTGGTCATAATCTGCTGCTCCATAACCCATCGAAGGAAATCGCAGCTTAACATGGGCAAGTGCTGCTTGAAACTGCCTCTCTGCTTATTTAATATATCATCATCCTAAATGTTTTTTTCACTTTTGTTTAACTCTTTTCCACTTAATGTCACTGAACGTTTCTTGATCAAAACCTTTAAACATATTGGTGCTGAGATCAGATACTTGCAAGTGTTTTATTTTTATATTTCCTGCAAGCACCCTAAAACTGCATTAAAAAAGCCCTGTTTCCAAAACTTTCACATTGTAGGTGTTGTACATTTTCCTTTACTGAACTAATTATAATTAATATTATTTCTATTTATATTCAAGGATGACATGACAATCACCTGTGTCTTTCCTTCTATGACAAGTCAGTGCATTGTGATATGACTTTGCTGAGACATTGTGTGTGTTTAAAGAATGTAGAAAAAGCAATAAAATATCGATCACAAAAAACGAAGCAGTAGAAGCTCACACACTTGCCCCCCCCCCCTCTTTTCTCCCTTGTCTTTATTTACTCATGTATTTGTTCATGTATGTGACGGATGAAGGCTGCTGTCAATGTTTCCATATGTGGTAAGTGAATCTGTGAGAATGGTTCTTACATTCGTTAAATATTTGAATGATCTTGTTGATGTATATCCAGACACAGACAGACAGACCTGTTATGGGGATGAGGACCCATGGGATCATCCCCTCCTCTTCGTCCTCTTCATATCCTCCTGCTCTCCTCCCTAGTGCTCCCCCTCCTCCTCCTCCAACTCCTCCTCCTCTGCATGCTGCCCCATGGTGATTCATCTCCCCGCTGTGGGAGCTGGGACTGAATCCCTCCAAACTACTGACGCTGCCCGCCGTCTGCTCCTACACACACACACACACACCACACACACACACACACACACACACACACACACACACACACACACACACACACACACACACACACACACACACACACAAAACCAAACACTTTTTTAGCCTTTTTTAGACTTTTTTAAAGTCAGAGAGGAGGGATGATCTCAGCGACCAGTAACTCTTTCCACATTCATCTGGGCATGTGTGTAGGTAAACTATTAAGATATACTTGAATAGATCCATACCTAACCTTTAAGTGTCAATCACACCATCATAATGTAGCTCTACATTATAATCGAGTACAGGCAACAGTGGCTGATGGGAAATGAAACGTCACTCCCTCAAGAAAATAATATAACGGTAAAATGTATGACTAACAGATATTTTTGCTTCATCAGTTACCTCCAGCTCCTCCTGCTTCCTCAGGTCGATGTCACAGTTGGTGGGCAGACCCAGCTTGGTGGCCAGCCTATCAAATGGGCAGGATTCCTTCTGCTCCACCTCCTGCATCTCACCAAAGCTCGGACCGGCCATTCCCCTGGCAGCCTGGGTGAGGCCTGTCCCACAGGCAGAGAAACTTCATTTTAAGAGATTAAGATTTGTTCCATTCACTGGATGTGAATGGTGAACTGCTGTCTGACAAGAAAGTGCTAATTCACAGTAACGAAGAAGACAAAAACTGACTGAACGAAAGTTTAGAAAAGAAGAAAAAGAATTTGAATCAAAAGTTGAAGTTTCCACATTAGTCCGTTAGTGTATGTTGTCTAACAGAGAGTCTAAATATCCCGTCACCTGTCAGCAAACTGAGAAGTTTGGCAGCGTGCTCAGATCCATCTTCCCTCAGATCAACATCTCTCAAACCCACTGAGCCAATCACAGACGCAAGAGAACCAGGAGAGGCAGAGACTTGGCTTCCCTCGACTAGAAGCCAAACGCAGAAAGAAAACATGTCGGTAAACAACAGGTTGATTGATTGATTAAAACACACCCACAATAAGTGTAAAGGATCTCTTAAGGTGTTTTCAGACAGAATACAAAGCAAAAAATGGACATTAGAGGCAAAGCACATGCACACAAGGTTGATGAAAAGATGAGAGTTGACTAAAGAACACACAAGTTGTGGCAGGTTGATGCATCTATGCAAATTGAAAACAATTCTCAATTTGAATTAAAAAAAAAAAAAAAAAAATCACACATAACCCATTGTTTATATTAAGTGTTGAACTCTTGAGCTGCCACACACATTCACAAAAAGACTCCTTTGCTACACCTTTACTCCATCAGGAAGAAAACGACCAACATTTCTGGTTTTACAGGTATCCAACTCTGACAGACAAAATCCACCATTATATGTGCACACATGTATTTATTGCCACCGGAGGCACAGCCTCCCCGTCTCCTCACCTGGAATCTTGTCGTGGCTTCTGGATCCCTGTGACGCCCTCAGATATTTGAGCGTCCTCTCTGCCGTCTGCTGTTCCAGCCTCCTCTTCCTCCCCGGTGTCTTCAGCCCTCCTTCTCCTCCTTCCTCCCTCTTCACCTCATTTTCTGCATTCCTCTTAGAAGTCAAAACCAGGTCTATCAGCTGCTGGATCTGAGTGACAAAGCACAAACATTTCAGGTCCCTATGCCTGAAAGGTCAACATGAAAAAGGTCTTTAACAGTTTTACAAAAAGGCTTGTGTTAGTCTGCAGAGTAACCAAAGAACCATAGAGTCATAGAATTTTTCAGCATCTTTTAAAGGACATCAGGATGAACACAAGATAAACACACACTTTTATATTCTGTTCATTACAGTTTCATTGGTTCAAAGGAAATTGCCCCCCCCAATCTACTGTCCACTGTCACAAACAAATAAAAGACTTGTCATAGTCATACTCTGCAAATCAGGTTGAACATTCATAATACAGAGAATGTAACACATATATCATGAAGAAATATGTAACCCATCACTGTAAAACAATATGTAATCAACACATATCAAGACCCTCCACCACCACGTTTTCTTATAAGTCATGCTCACCCTGATGTCAGTTTTCACCTTCTGAGTGTTGATCTGTTTGTCTCGAGTGCTGCCTGTCGACTCCTTCCCCGTCGACTCTCTCTGGCCTCCACAGCTCTTCCTGGGCCTCGCCTGTGGCTCCTCGGGGCCAGAGTACACCTCCATCACTTGCCTGGCCCGGGCCACTGACAGCAGGTAGAGGGCGGGGTTGTACAGGTAGGAGCGCAGGTAGCCGTCCATGTTCACCCGGTGGTGTTTAGGAGCAGGAAATGGCTTTCCTTGCTCATCAAGCTTGGAGTCGTACTCACCCATGGGGTACTGTCGAACCTGGAGATCAAAGATGTGCTTAAATGTTATGAGGAAGGATTCAAGGTTTTATCACCCAACATCACTAATGATGCTCTTATGACTGAATATGGGGCGTATCTCTGAAGTCAATGACTGAATGCCATAGTCGTGTCTTTCATGACATTCTGAGGGTTAGCATGAGCAGCGACAGCCACCACAGCTCAACAAAGCGCATCACAGAAGATCATATCAAAGTCCCACGGGAAAACAAAAATAAAGCATTACCGTTTAAAGAGTTGTGGGTCATACCTTGCCATCATTCAGGCCGGTGAGGTATTCCTGTGCCTGCCGCTCCACACCAGCAGACAGATCAGGAGGGGGGTTGGCACGGGCCTTGACGAGGGCATGATGCAATGATGGGATAAATTGGCTCAGACGCGGCATCACCGTGGCGCCCGACATCAACGACTCTGAGGCATCATGGGACACGGAGGCACACCTTGATGCTGTGGAAAGAAACAGAAAAACAACATGAATATCTAAATTATGGTGATAATTTTCAAAGCTTCAGTTTGTATTTACTGCAGGTGTTTTAGTCTCCACAGCTGATTCCTTTGAGCTTGTTAAAACTGCACTAATCAAAATTATTTATATTAACAGTGGATCAAAGGACTGTGTGTTATGTAAAACGTGCTGCGTGCTAATTAGTTTTAGTGTTAAATGCATCGCTCTTGTTACGTTTATGTCTGGTGTCCCACACTACTCCGGAGAGTTCAATCCACTGAAACTGAGACTTTTGGAAAGTTCAAATCCTGCATTTTAACGCTACACCTGCCTTTGCTGTTCCACGTCTGTAGTAGTGTCTGCAACTAACCGACTGCACAGATGACAGTTGGCTTCTTGTTTACACCAGCATGTGCATGCCCAGTGTTCGGAAATGATCATGTGGTTTCAAGTGTGTTCGTATGGACAAATATCATTTCTGATACAGAGGTGAAACACTCGTCTGCACAGAGATTGTTTTCTTTTTAAAATGAAAACGTAGGCAACAAAATAAATAATGGACCATTCAGAAATATTTGTAAATAAATCACCCACCCACCCACTAAGCAGTCCCTGTGTTACTCACTGGATCTGGCCACATCTCTGGTCTCTGGGAAGACAAACAAGGCCTGAAGACATCTGCTCCAGCTCTCTCCTCTCTCTGAAAATACAAAAACATCGTTGTCTACGGGGAAGATATTTTGTCCCTTTGTATTTTGTATCCCCATTTTCTGACTTTTTAAATGTTTTTTTTTCTGTAAAATGAATGTAAAAACATGTAAAATGATCTTTTTAGGTTCTGACTGGGTGGAGGTGTGAAATGAAACACTCCCTTCACTTGCAGTGATAAAAAAGTTCTACAAAGGCATCAGAAGCTAATTCGGCTCACTGTTAAACATTATTTATATTGTCCTCTACATAATTTACCACTACACCCCATCAGCCCCATGTCATACCAGTGGGTGTGGCCATCTGAACACTGGAGAGTAGAAAGAGAAATCCTCTCTCTGTGAGTGCATTCACCAGAACCTGTATGGAGAACAGACGACTGTCATTCAACAGATCTTGTGTAATTTCCCTCGTGTTCCCTTCCTTTCCTTATTTACTTTTTGTTCCTTCCTTTTTTCTCCCCCACCTTCATTGTTCTATTCTTCCCTCTTACTTTCTTTCAGTCTTTCATAACTCATAATACATTTCATTCTCTTCCTGTTACAGGTTAGCAAGCATTAACTTTTAGCTTTCAATAATCACACACATATTGTATGAAAAATGCATTTTTCTTATTGGCTTATTTTTACAAGTTGTCTGTTGGGAAGGAAAAGTTACTTATTGCAGATTTTTACCAAGGCAAATATCTTTGAGATTTCAACTGTGACAGAAAAAGGAGCGTGACTACTTTTACATGTTGTTATGTCCACATAGAAAGACCAGATTGAAAGACATTGAGTGGTGGATGTCGAGGATCTTCTTCAGATGGGCCACTGGATCTTCTGAGTCACCTCAACACTTTAACTTTTAAAAATTTTCAAGTAAAAGTTACTTGTTAGTTTTTATATCATTGTACTTTCATGAAACGCTATTTCAAGATTTTTCACAATAAAACCAAAACAGTTAAAGAAGGGGTTACACCCACTGAGCTGCACTATTAATGTGAAGTATCTGTGCAGGAAGTGTTGCTCTTCAATGAAAGTAGCTTAACAGTGATCCATAAAAACTGTGTTTCTGTTAAAAATAGGATTGTTATTGTACTGATGGAATTAGTGCTGTGAAAATGAACAAGTCTCTGCAGGTAACTGAAGGCCCTGTCTGCGATTTAACTTATTCAACATGGTTACAATCACCACATTGTTGTTGAATGTCTTGTCTGCACTGTACATGAGATCCTGCTGTTTCTCTATAGTGTAGCTGCCATTTAACGAATCAGACAAATAAACTGATTTACAGTATTAAAGTTATCACAACTCACCATTCTCTTAATCTCCAGTTCCTGCAGTAGTTTTGTGACGCTGGTCGTTGACCGACTTCTGTCAACCACCTCCAGAAGACTGCAGCAATAACCGTTCTTCACAACTACACACACACAAAACACACACAATCCTTCTCAGTTTCACACACATATTCTTCTGTGACACATTTTTGACGCCCTGTGACGGTGTAAATGCAGAGAAACTAAATGGTCAACTTTAAACATATGTGATGTCAACATAAAATAAGGGCTGTCAGCCTGGTGTGTACCGTCCCGTCAGTCTGAAGGTTAGTCTGACCTCACCTTCTTGGCTGCTGTTGTAGAGGTTGTAGGAGAAGAGGTCGGAGGGGAGGAGCTTGGTCACCTGCTCAAGCCTCATCAAACATCCCATTGTCAACTTCTCTGGTCTGAGGGAGACACACGGTGAGATTCACACAGAGCAAACCATTTTAAAATTTGACGATGGCACAAATGTAGCAGAATCCTGATGAACTGCCCTTTTAAAAACACACTTTAAAACACTTTTACACTTGTCCTGTTGGGTAAGTTTCCCTGAGATACCATTAGTATAAGGAGATGAGAGCCCTGTCTTATATAAATGAAATATGAAATATGGTGATATGTAAAATCTACATTTATGTAGCTTGTTTTCAGACTGCCTTTCTGAACTCATAATCCCTGACGGCCTTAATTCTTGGCTGTTTGACACACAGATGAATGAATGAATACATTTACTCACAGTCTGTGGGGCAGGAAGGGAGGAGAGAAGGAGCGAAGGGAGATCTGGAAGAGAACCTGGTCGCCTTTAACTAAATCTCCACTCCACACTGTGAACTGAGCTCGCTCTGAGACAGCAAAACACGAGAGAGAGAGAGAGAGAGAGAGAGAGAGAGAGAGAGAGAGAGAGTGTCAGGTTGTGAGTGTCAGCTTCGAGGCAAGACAGGAAATATAATGTCTGATATTCAAGCTGTCAGTGTGAACTATGTTCTTCAAGCTCTGGTGCGATTTGGTGGAAAACAGGGACCAGTGCTCACCTTTACTCCCCTCTGCTGATTGACTGTTCAACCTGTTCAAACACGGAGAAGCTGTCAATTCACACGTCTTAAAAGTAAGTGAGGTCTGCATGAGATTCTCAACAGAACAGCAAAGTCCACAAAAGACTTCCAAAGTTAAAGTTAAATGCTGAAGCTACATTGGCAACTTCAGTTGGATGGTTTTCTTGAGCTTACAGACGCCATGTTCTAGCTTTGCTTTCTTGCAGACCAACCCAACTGAACGCTGGTGGTTTCAAACACAAATACATTTCTGTTAGAGCAACCCTGGGAGAAAGACAGCTTGGCTGTAAGAGTTGAAAAAACACTACAAACAACAAATTGACAACAAAAGGATTAAAACAGAGCCACTTAATACCCTCTGAGAGCTCTGCAATCCAGACGATTAACTTTTTAATGACCACCTCATTTCCCGGCTCAGTCTACTGTTCTCTGCACTGGCTTAGTCTGCATTTACTTTTTTAACTGAATCATTCTGTTTTAGTGTTTAACATTCCAGATCCCCATACCTGATGGGGGCCAGAGGTTTGCTGGGAAGTGCAGAGTCTTTTCCTTTAAACTGGAAGGAGACGACAGCGTACGGACAAACCTGCCGAGGCCTCTGCCGCAATTCGTCAAACAAATACTCGTAGAAGTATTGCTGAAATAAACAACATAATGATAGCACTGAAAGCCATGCTTTGCATCTTTAAAGGACAACTTGACTTTCAATTATAAAAATATTTAGCAGAACCAAAACATATTAATTTCACAAGGCCTTTAAAATCTTTACACTCCAGGTCAATCCAACACCAAGCGTGTTAGGTGACATGCGTGGCCTGGTCAGTGTATTTTGGGCTTGAGACTCAGCTGTTTCATGTCACAGAGGATGTTAGCTTGACTCTATGATGTAAACACGTTATGTGTGGTCTGAGGTGTTATATATGATTTTAGCTTGGCATTGAACAACCGTGCTGTTTCTGCCTGAACTTGACCCAAAGATGACTAGAGCCTGATAACAAAAACAACTGAAGAAAGTCCTGTTTAAACCATTTAAACAATGATTTTCACTGTCCCCTTGATAAACAGTGATGTACTGCTGCAATAGAATCATTTTTGTCGAAATGTACTGATGTCCAGGGATAACTGGTCCTTTTCTGTGTATTTATCAGTTTATTTATCAGTTTCTGTAAAACTGTTCTGATCATTTACTTGTGTGAGTTCGAAGGCGCGGTAGGAGGAGAGCGAGGTCACTTTGCTGGCGTTCTTGGAGATGTGGCTGTCAAAGCGAGGCGTTGGATCTAGAAGGTTCTTCATGTTTTCATAAATGCTCTTCACTTTTCCCTGAAACAAAAAATGGAGACACCTCAACTGTCTAAATCTGTTTATTATCATTTCTATCACAAAGACTTGAAACAGGGTCACTGATACAAAGCAGCTCACCTTCATCACTTTGAAGATGACGATCTCTCCTGTGGCTCCTGGGGTGAAGGAGTTTATCTGGAGGAGGTCTGAGTACCTGGAGAGATACACTCCTACAGACATACACACACAAATACACACACATATGAACAAAGAACAACATGAAGATCATGGGTCACTTTCTTTTCACCACACACTGATTTTGTGTGTATATATTTTGTGACCTCTCCTTTCAGCATGCAGGACAAAAACTCAGAATGAACAATAAATGGATGGAAAAGGTAAAATAATAATTTTGTGTTATTGTCTATGTATTTACCTGCATGTATCTGTTCACTCTTACCTTTAGTGGGGTTTCCCAACACTGTGATCCAGCTCTGACCCACACACAGCCCCTTCTCACAGAGCATGGGAACCTAGAACAGACAAATGATTCAGAAAAATAATGTCAGTTCAAGGACATAGCACTTTTCAAGAATAAGGCTCATTAATGAATATCAAATGATCACTTGATCTTTGCAACAGTAGTTCAGTATTTTCCAGAAGAAATCCAGTAATTCTCTAAAAATATTCACATCCAGGAAATAAGTATTTTTTGTAAATAGTACAAAATACCTGTGGCTTGGGATAAATTCCAAAAAGCATCAATAACAACAAAAATGTTGTTTTATTAGACAGCAATTAATAGAAATTAATTTCACCTTGTCAGTTTCAGCCAATAAGAAACCGTAGCTCTCCTCCAGCTCTTTATCTGTCCTCCCGTCCACCTTCATCTCCTTCCTCTTCTCCACAAACTGAAAAACAGCACACACACAATCATCAAATGAATATAATCATGGCTCCATAATGAACAGTTGCAGCACATCCCAGTTTGTCCAGTGGCTCCGGGTGATCTACGTAGGCCATGTAGATGTGCGTTTCCTCAAGCCCTCTACCCATCCAGCACTCACCTCTTTCTCCAGCAGCTCACTGTGGACAAGGCGAGGTATGGAGTAGGTGACGCAGCCTGCAGAGCCTGTGTCGATGTAACTGGAGGTCAGGATAGTCATCATGTTTTCAAACTCCCTGGACTCAGTTGAGACATGCTCGACAAGAGCTGGAAGACGGACGGGAAAGACAGGTCAATAATCACTAATAATCACACATTATCCTTTGAGCTGTGGAGGGCACACAGTGAGAAGGGTTCACTGTAGGAGGAGTGATTCACTGGCTACAGCTACAACAGCATCAGTTAGGTCCAACACTGATGCTGGGTGATACTTTCCGGCTCACAGTCGGTGTTCCAGTTCTCCCTAGAGATGCTGGACATGGCTGAGGTCAATTTCTTCCAAACCAAACTGGGCAAATCATGTTTTTATGGACCTTGCTTTGTGCACAGGGGCATTGTCACGTTGAGACAGGAAAGGACCAAACACAAACCATTGACACAAATCTGAAAGTACACTATTGTCTAAAATGTCATCACAATGGCATTGTTATTTCCCATAAATTGAACTAAGAGCCCCAAACCAGGAAAAAACAGCAGAGCAAAGTACACTAGCATGTTTTTTGCCAAATACTGTGTCCTCAGTATTTGGCCAAACAGTGTATTCTCTGCCTGTAAGAAATGAAGTTAAATTTGGGTCACATCACTCTTTGCCAACCAACTCTAACACTAAACATTATAAAGCTACAGTTTTCCACATTTACCCCCAACGCTCTCCAAAGAAATAAAAACACATTAACCTGAGCTCATTTACAAGATTTAATTTCCATAGGAGTTTATTTATTGGGTCCCACACATATCAGAAGTCACAAATAAATGTGTAATAAATGTCCTAATACTGCCAATCCTTTATGCAGCTTTCAGCACCTTTCAGGTGAGCCTTACCCACACCCAAACAGAAGGTGTTAGCAGCTGGGGACCCACCTCAGTTATAAAGGCACCAGTGAAGCCTTTTTTGTGCCAAATGCGCCAGACTCTCAGGAGACTGAAGAACCTGTAGCAGCTGCCGCCCTCAGTGTGGAGGAGAGGGCTCAGCTGGAGCACCTGAGAAAGGTGCTGCTGATGTGCAACTACATCCTCTCATGATAGAGATTTAACAAAAGATTCATTTTCATGGTAAAATTAGTGCAATACTGGAGGGCTGTTGGAGAAATTATGATACTTTATGACTAGATAAACATAGTTATCCTAATTATCAGAGAGGAATAGAGTGACCTTCTCTGTTTCTCTCTGCTACTGCTCCCACACATTTCTCATGATAAGACATGAAGCTGTCTCTACTGAGTGTGACTCACATCAGCAAGAATGTGAGGTCACTCTCATATGTTCTGTATATATATCCTGTGTGAACTTTGAGTCTGTAATGCAAATGTTCAAAGAGTACACTGTGTGTAACTTGTTCCCTTGCTGCAAGAATAAACATCTTACTCAGACGGTATTCCTGAGTTTATTGGATAATTTTCCTAACAAAGGCTTTTTCAGGTTCAGGTTCAGGTTATTGTCATTTCTGATGACAGCCATGTAGGATTCAATTATTTAATTAAAAAAATTTAAGGACAATAAATGCAACAGACAAAATTAAAAAAACAAAACATTATACAAAATAGGTACAAACATCACACAATCTTAAAATAAAAAGATAAATCATTATTAGCAACAACTCAGGTGTACATAAAGCATAAAATGAGCAAGATTTTTATGTAAAAATCTAATTAGATTTTTAAAAAAAAACTGGGTATCAAGAGATGTTTCCACTTCTATTTGTTTGTTTCAATTGATGAACTTGAGAAAGACCAGGTGTGGCTGAGACACTGATCATATATTAAAATAATTCATTCACTAATCTTCATTTGTATGCCTGTTATTACCATGACCAGGATCTAGATTTTGGTGTGCATTCACCAGCCATTCAGTATGCAAGCAATATCATGCAATGGCATCATTGCATCATTATCATGCAATCACATTGTGTGTTTCCGCTGGAAGAAAAACAACCCGTTATGGCTAAAATTAGAATCAAGTATAATTGGAGACGAATAGCCAGGTCATGTCAATGTCATATCCCAAATGTCAAAGAACTATTGCACTACTACTGTGCAAGTACTATAAATGCACTCAATGAGTCTAGGACAGGGGGCAGAGAAGGAGGTGGCAGTGGAGTGAATTTAGGCAAACAGTCTGGAAAACAACCCCCCATAAAACGGCTAATTGTTTTTTTAGATTTCTATTTTTTTTATGGAATAAATAAATGAGACATAATGTGTTAGTGGTGAGATTAAAGCTGGTGGATGGTTGAATTTGTTGTCATCAGATAGAGTCAGGTCAGCTAACCAGCTGATGGTCCAGCTTCATTACTAGAGTGGTATCAATCTCATGTAATTCTCTGCCTGAAAAAGAATAATCTTATTTCCCAAAATCAACCTATCCCTTTAATGATTAAAAAAAGAGGAAAGGTCAAAATTGAAGCAGCAATGCAAACATATGCTGATCTTTAGTCCCTAATATGGGTTAAGCTCCAAACAATTAATCATTTAGTCAAGAAAAAATACCCCCTCACAACTCTGCAGGTGACATACTCAGGTGTCTTGTTTTGTTCAACAAATTCTCACATTTGGCAAGTTGGAATCAGAGAGTGTGTCTCATTTTTCACCAGGTTTGCTTGAAAAATGACTGAAACATCAACTTATTATCAAACTAGTTACTGGTTATTTTTCTGTCAATTGACTTATGGATTCACCAGCTAATCATTTAAGCTCTAAAACTGATGTTGATGTCATGGAGTACCCCTCTTGTGTCAAGCTCTGTTTCCCTTACAAGCTTTTCCTCTACTGGAAACAGGGTGTCAGGCACAGTTGACCTCTGTGGTTGTGGTCAGAGTTTGGGTTTAGGTTATGGTTGAGTTGGAGTTAACAGAAAAACAACCTGTTGGGAATAGGGTGAAGTTTGGTCTCAGGCTAAGGTAAAGAAAAACACAAATCAACAGGGAATCACTTCCACACAACATCCTTTTACCCAGAAGCTAAATCTATCAAACATTCCTTTGCGATTCTTGTCCATGTTGACATGATTACATCATGATTGAACCAGTCAGTCCTTCTCATTAATGTCTCTGCCCACAGAACTGTCACTAACTTGGATGTTTTTGTTTTTCTCACTGTTCTGAGTAAAAACTCTATAGACTGTTCCATGTAAAAATCCCAGGTGATCAACAGTGTCAGAAACACTCAATCCAGCCTGTCTAGCACTAACAATCATGTCACAGTTAAAGTCACTGAGATCACATTTTTCCCCATTCTGATGTTTGATGTGAACATAAACTGAGGCTCCCCACCTGTATCTGCTTGAGTTTATGAATTGCACTACTGTCACATGATTGGCTGAATAAGTGCATGAATAATTAGGTGTACAGGTGTTCATAATAAAGTGCTCCTAGGTGGGCACCTGTAGAATGAAATCTAACTTTAACCCCTTAGCCCTTAACTAGCACGAACTGACTTGGTCAGGACAACACAAATGTCCTTATTTAGGAGTTATCAAATAATTTAAGTGTCGTTCTGATGCCAGTTAAACAAAATAGGGAAAAAGGCGGGCGCACCATGTCCCTGTAAAATGTAAACAAATCAAGGAGGCGGACACCACATGTGAACTAATGCGCACTAACGTCAACATAAAGATGAAATCTTTAGCTTCAAGCTTTAAACGCAAATATAAATCCACTGCCATTTATTATCACTCATACACAAGATTATAATTAGCTAGGAAGTGAAAAGAGACGTCAAGTACTAACATAGCATTTAAATAAGGTTAGCTCGCTAACTGCTAACTAGCATCCTCAAACACATTGTAATTTGAACAAAGCGTTTCTTTAGTGCATTATAGTGAACTTATATGGCAGCAGGGTTGAATATAATCAATACACAACAGTAAATGTGAGTAATGTTGAGTTTATGAGTAAGCTTACACAGGTTAAAAATTGACCTGTCCGATAATGGATCTTTTCCGTTAATCCGGAACTTTAAATTGACAGACTTCAGAGCAACGGCTGAGATTTCAAATAAATAAAATGAATTAAAGTACAACGTTAATTGAAGACGTACAACTTTTGGTTAATCTGTTATAATTTCACTGAATTGCAGGGAGGTTAAGGACCAGCTCACCTCTATTTTCCCTGGTTTTCCTCGGTATATGGAACTTCTTCGGCTCCATTGGCATATGCCTCTGGTGGACTATTTGTGACACCGAGTTCCTTCTCTCCATCCTTCCCCCGGCAGCACCCAGTATCTCCAGACCAGTTAGAGTTTCTCTCGGAGGCTGCAGCTCGATCACCTCGCCATCTTGCAGGCTAACGTTAGCTCCAAGCTCCGCGGTACCAACGGCGGCGGCAGCAGCAGCAGCAGCAGCAGTAGCAGCAACAGAAGACATCCTCCTCGGACGAGCTGCCTCCCTCCGAGCCAGGATGTCGTCCATAGTCGGATTCTCCACCAGACCCACGCCTCTCTTCCTAACCGTCACACCGTCACAGTCGCTCTTATAGAGCCCCGGGATGACACCGCTGTTACCTCCGGATGCCGTAGCAGCGTAGGAACTCGAACCAACATACAGCCCGCACCATGTTTCCTGAGAGCAGAGGTCTTCTTCACTAAGATTTAACTGCAGCTGGTGAACTAGATGTTGCTCTACTGCCATCTGCTGGAAATTATTATCGCCTTCATTGTCAAATAGCTTGGTATGGAAGCCGTTTTCCTCCAAGAAAAGAAAATGATGACATTTTGAATGTGGAATGACAGATATAAAAACAAATACTACTAATATCAATAATATTTTGAATCAGTATCACGTGATTTAGATTTTTGTAAGTCTCTTATTTTTGACTCAGAAAGTTATAATTTGGATTTATTTTGATTTAACATCAAACATGGATTACAACCAGACAAAAAAAGACCCCCAGTGACCAAAGTTAATGAGGTAATTAATTAAGTTAATTAGTAATTAACACAAAGAAAACGCAGGCAAAGTAAATAAAATGAAGTACTGTCAGGCTGCAACTATTTTCATGATCAATGGGTCTGACAGTTACTTTCTTTAATTATCTCTTGATTGTTCAGTGAATAAAATGGCAGATAATTGTGGAAAAATTCAACTAATTACTTCACACACACACATTTCTAACAAATTTTTGAGTAATAAAATGATGTAGACCCAAATAATATGGAGTAACCAGGGGCCTTGGGGGCCTCTGGGCAGTTGCCTGCCTTCCTCCTTTGAGATTCAGCTTTGATTTCTTTCTTTAATTTTGAATTTTCATAATTTAGATTTTGAAAATTCCAGAATTTGTACTCAGAAAGTTAGGATTTGGAGTAATTTTGGCTTACCATCGGTATTTTTAATTCTGTTATTCCTAGGGTTTTTTTTTTCTTTTCCAGGCAAAAGCAGGACTCTCTATATATACTTAGATAATGGCAGGTATTACCCTCCACTTTCCATTTGTCATGCAAATATATTCGATTCCTTAATACAGTGCACAACTCTAAGGCTGTTCTCACCAAATATTGTGTTTTAAATCATTGCCAATGTGTTTTCTGACCTGTTGCACTATTTACGTTAAGGCAAACAGTTTCTTACATTCTTCTTCCTCGGAGAAACTAGCTTTATTAACAGTACCTGTCACTAGTCAGGACATTGCCTGAGCAACAGATTTAAAGTGTGTCATAGTTGACATTGTGCACACAGGTGTCTTTAACAACAGTTGGGGTATTTCTCAGGGTTGAGTTTTAAGTCCACTCCTTTTTACAATCCACATTAATTGCCTAGGGCTGTATGTTTATAACTGTTGATTGCACTTGTATGCACTCATTCTAAAAGACAAAAGCGTTTCAAATTTTGTATTTGTCTTTATTTAAACATGGCAGTATTTTCTTTGCAATCACCAATAACCATCCATTCAGTGAGGCTTCTTTTTAAAACAATTTATTGATGCTTTGGTCTTGTGACAATCCACACATTAGTGCACAAGTATTGTCTGTGTATCTTTAGTCCTCTCTGAGATGTGTAAATAACCTGCTTTTAAAAGTTTGGTAGTTGTCTGGTAACTTAACCACTGTGGTAAACTTCATCCACCCTCATCACCATCACAACTATCCTGACAGTGGTCATTTATAATATCAAACTGATTGTCTGGACATTGTAAGTCATATTTCATGTGTTGTAAGGACATATATAACAAACAGTCATGCTTGGCTTTGTTCCTACATTCATATACAGACAGACTTCATATACATTCTTTACATACAGTACATACACAACAGGCTCCTCCCTCAGGACTCTGATTGCCACCAAGCTGCAGCAGCTTCGTAGTAACTTAGTAATTTTATAGAATTTTGTGGTAGGGATCGATGTTCAAAACGGAAAATCCACCGAAGATTCAATTAATGTATTTGGAATACTACCCGACTACATGCTACAATCACATTCATTCACAAGGAAAGGTTATACTGTGCCGATAGCTTAAGGTTTTGCTTTAAGAGTATTTCTAGAGTCTACGCTTGCAAAATATTCATTTCCAACATTTATTTATTTTTTTTATTTTCAGCAGTGTTCCTGCGTAACTTCCTTCCCTTTTAAACACTGCATTAATTAATTTTTGGCCTCTACATGGAGAAACATCAAACAACTGACAGATACACAGCCACCACCAGCTCACTTGATCATGCTGCTATCACTAACAGACAACTGATAAACTTGCATGTATCAGCACACACAGCAATACGATCATCCCACTGTTGAATGTAAGGCCAATATTCACTCTTCGCTTTGGTTTGGTCTCCACCAGCAAGTTACCAATGTTGCCTGTCTGTCATTTGGTGCTGGTCAGGTAGTTTACAATGGGTGTATGAAAAACGCTGCCTGCTGCAGCTGGAAACACAAAAACTGAACTATGAAATAAGTTTGCTGTAAAACAAATCTAGGAGCTAAAAGAGGCTAAAAAGGTCAGTGGGTCCAAAATCCTAAACACTTACACTCTTTCACATCAATATAATATCAAAAATATTTAATGCATGTTTGAGGCATTAGGCAATTAAAGCTCTTTTACAGAAACATCATAGTCGTGGTTTGATAAAATAGTCACGGTCAGAGATGGGACTTAATGCTGTGTAAGGGGCAAAAACCTATACAACCTCCACACTCTTACCTCACTCACCCCTACACTGAAATTCACTGAGCATCGCCATCACACGTACTGTAATCATTGCAACCTGGACCTGCATCACTTTTCACTTAAAATGTATTTTCTGCTGGAGAGCACTTACACATGAACATTATTCATAGGAGAACATTCACATTTACAAATGGTTGCAAATTTAGACTCATAGATCAGCTAATAATGAGTAACTTGTTACTGTGATGTGCCATGAGAACTGGCTCTGTCTTCTCCAGTGTTTCCAGACATTACAAGTGATTATAAGACATGATGAACAGAGTTTTAGAAACAGAACAAGAAATTTGCAAAAAAAAAGAAGTAATCTTTCAACTGATTAACTGATGAAAATAAAAATCCCTATAATTGGAGATACAAGTTTGATTATTTGTAATTGTTCTTTGAAAGCTATGGAAGGTAAGTGTTCCTTACCACGACTAATGTCGCACTTTTTCTGCCTCTTTGTATTTGCTAAATCTCTACAACAGAGATGGTAAGTTAGCGTTTAGTGGTAGTTAGCTACACACGATTCATTATAATTCACTCATAGTGTTTTAAATGCAAAAAGCTTTTGACTTGAATTCTGACTTTTGTGATCGGCTTTACCTTTTGCATGTATTAGCTGAGGATGATGCTGACATCAGCAGATCTGTGGTAGAGGTTTTTCTGAAAATATTAGTGTTGAATTAGCACATAGCAGAAGTTTATATGGGGTGTGTCTTTTCTGCTCGTTAATTTAAAAACTATTGGCAGTGTTTCTTTAAAGGTGCCCTGTGGAGTCTTTATGTAAACAAACAAGTTATCTTGTTTCTCACCTAAACACATTGTGGTTTTTCTTGAGGTCTAACAAATGTGTTGAATACATTTCTTTCCTCTTCCTGGGCATTGTTACTGGCATTAGCTATTAGTGCCAACAGCTTGAAACCATTAGTGGGAAGGTGTATTGCATAATAGGTGAGCACCTGCATGTACATGTACATCTTTGTGTGCATGTTAGTATAGGGCTCCTGTTCTTAGTGCCAGTAGTGACACAAACTCCACTGGGAAACTTTAACAGTCCAAATAGAAAGGTGAAGACTATAGGCAGCAACATAGAGTTTGTCCAAAGGCTGGTCTAGTGCAAAATATAAGTAAGTGAGCAAATGTTAACTATGAAGAAATAAATTCAGGATAAAGTAAACTAGAATAAAACAAGCCAGGAAATAGTTTCACTCTTGCACCGTCTAATCTGGTGAAGTGTAACATGGTGTGTGGGATGTGGGATACAGCAGTAGTCACAGTAACATGAGTAAAGCTCAAGCTCCGAAAAATAGTGTTGGGCTGTGAGGTGACTTTTGGCGTTGTGGCCGCAGTTGGAACTGCAGGTCATGTGACAGCCACTGGCCCACAAATAATTTGCCCCATACAAATACATAATTTCAAAAGGCAGTAAAATCATAAATACATTTTGCTGAGCATCACAAAACTCCAAAATGTGGAAGTTGCAGAGGAAAGCCTGAGGAAGCCCGAAAAACGTTTTTTTTGCAGTATGTTCATGCTGAATAACTTTCATTGGAATGAATGGGGCACCATTGGTGTCCAGTTCTCTTAATAGCATTCATGCCATTAGTACAGCTACATGGGGCCAGTGTTCCAGAGTGTAGGGGTGATGGTTGTTGTGGCATTCTAGAACGCAGTGGTTACCGTGGTTACCAGCAGTCAGGGTACAGCAGTTACAGTGTTCTAGAACACACTGTTTAATGTTTCTTAACAAGTTCAAGTGATTGTTGTAAGTGACATCATCATCATCATCCCAGCTTTGATTGGATGCAGTGTCAGTTTTTTTTTTGTTTGGTCCTAGTATCAGCACCTAAGGGACAGATCCTCGCCCTCCAGTAAGTCAACCTCATTTGTGTCCATGCAGCCCTCCTCCTCCTTAGCGCCTCTCCACCCCCCCTCTATCACCTCCTCCTCTTGAGTGGGAGAAGCAGGGGAGAGGGGGGAGGTTGGAACATCATTACCATCTCTGCTGAGAGTCTCTCTTTCTACTCCTCCTCCTCCTCCTTCTCCATCCATCTTCCAGTCTGCTCTGGCTCCCAGCTCTGCCCCCATCTCATCACAGAGACCCTGCCCTGTCTCCATCTCCCCCGTCTCTGTCCCACTGATTGTCACCCTCGTCTGACTGTCCATCCCTGTTTCTCCATGTAATTCAAAACCTGTCCCACCATCCACAGCCAAACCTGTCTCCATCTCCCTACCCGTCATTGTCTCCTGAGTCAAACCCACCTCAGCCTCTTTACCTGAACTTAGATCTTGACCTCCACTCAGACCCTCCTGTCCTTCCAAACACAGCCCTGTCTCCATCTCCCCCCACATCCCTTTCTCATCTTCAATTCCTGAATCACTTCGCAAACTCAGTGCTGTCCCATCAAGTGTCCCTTTCTGTCCACCCAGCTCTTTCTCCAGACACGGTCCTGTCAGTGGTGGCAGGTCTCCAGTCAGTGCTGCGGCTTCCTTGGCTTGTCTGATGCAGTTTATCCATTGTTGTTTGTTGAAGGCGTCGCTGGCCTGGAAGAAGTGGCTCTGCAGCTGACCTCCGGTACGGTGCGAAACCCGGAAGAAGTTCTTTGCTGTGAGGAGGAGAGAGGCGGCTGCTTTTAAATTTGTATGTTGTATTCTATCAAACTGAATCTGTACTCCATTTTTGTTATATTACATATATATAAAGAAGGTTAATATAAGCTGTAGCCTGACTGGTACTGTATTTTTGATACCCATATTAATATTTGAGAGTTTAAAAAATGAGATAGAGATACATCAGCTGAATATTATTTTCTACATAAACATATAGAGTAAACACACATCTTTAATAATCATTCTTACATCTGGTTATTAAAGAAAATTTGACCACTACTGTGGATAAGTGGAACATTTTATAGTGTAAAAATAAACTATAATAAAAAATATACTGAAGACACGATTTCTTAATGACATCAGACAAATCTTGGGCGTTCGTTTGTTTAAAATCTCTACATATAAAATCTGCATATGAATTATATGATGAATATGAATATTTGTGAAGTACTAAGTAGAAGTACTAACTGCGCTCGTTGTTGCTGAAGGCCCCTCTGATGGACCCGCCCACTCTCATCTCTCCATCTGATAGGTCCTCCAGGTCCAGCTGCCGGATGGGTATTGGCTGGCGGCAGAGCTGATAGCTGACTGGCTGGTCGTTCAGCGAGACCGACCTGGTGATGACCAGGACGTCCTGGAACAGAAAGACATGGAGCTTCTGGAGAGAGAGAGAGAAAGAGAGCAGAGGTGAATTTTTCTTCACCTGGTGATCAGCTGTTTTTGTTCACGCACAACAGATAAAATATTTGGATCCTGTTTACCAGTGATTAAAGTAGAAATTACTTAAACAATCATAATTTTTTTTTTTTGAATTTGGTTATTTACTGTAAATATAATTGTATCAATATCTTATATTTACATCTAATATATTATAAATTATATATTATATGTTTATCTATAAGAACCTACCATCACATTACAAAGCATTAAAAGATAGAACATAAGGGAGATACGATATTTCATAACTCATCTCATCTGATCTTATCCTCTTGCTTTTCTCATTTCTTCACATTAACTCAGTAAAACAAATATGAAACATGACAGAGAAGACAAATTGTGGAATGAGTTCATCATAAACTCAATATTTAATCTTTAGTTGTCGACTTCTGCTCAAGTTTCCCTCAATTTGCAAATGAATCCACTTTATACTTGACTTGCAACTCAATGATTTGAATCAGATGTTGATCTGTGAATATTTCAGTCTTGCTCTTTACATCCTTCTCTAATCCTCTGATGCATGTTAGGTGGGTGGCAGGTGGGTGACATCAAAACACAATTAACTGTGTGTTTACACAGGATACAAACCACCATGTTTGATTAAGGGTCTTTCTAACAGAGGGAATGTGTCTCATATGTATGGATAAAAGAGGAGGGGTGTATATAAATGTTGAAATCTACTGACGAGTCCTCGGTTGTTCTTCAGTTCTCCATGGCAGCTGAGGGTCCTGGACTGGTCGATGAGTTCGTCCCTCTGTCCGTCCTCCATGTACAACAGACGGTCTTTGTAGTACTGACACTCTGACTCCCCCGTCCGCCTGTTGATGTCCGCCACCACGCTCTGAACCATCAGCATCTGTGGAGCAAACGGACAAAATCTAACTAATCGAATCTGTTTCTGCTGAAAAATGTCAAATGAAAATGTTGAATTGGACAGAAGGCCGGCTGGTGCATAGGACCAAAGTACCTCAAATGAAAAGAAGACATTACAACATATACAACTTATCTTTATCCAGATTGATCTGCTGATTTTGTTTTTTCTTATGTAAAAAATAAAGGAATTCAACTCTCAAATTTTCAGGGTTACTTGTGGCTTTTCTATTTTTTCTGACTTTTATTTTCAACTTTGACGACTCATTTTATTTTCTACTGCTTCAGTTCGATACTGGGTTGCACCAGAGGTGTAGGGTAAAGGTGTACAGTATCTTCTTAACACCGGTTTTCCTCACCGCCTCGTCCAGGTGCTGCCGGTCCGGGTGGTCATTGGGTGTGTGCTTCAGGATCTCCCTGAGCAGCAGTGGGTATTTCACCAGTCGGCTGCGGGGAATGTCCAGGAAGTTCCACAGGTCCAACTTCCTGCTGAAGGGCGACTGGAGACAGCGCTGCAAAAAGTCCTGGACCCGCCGGTCCTGCTTCTTCTGGTCCAACAAGGCCTTGGCCTTCACCTGGTTACTGCAGTACGGGGTGTAGGAGGACAGACAGGGCAGCTGCAGGGACACAAAGACAGAGACATGGTTACTGCAGAGTGTAGGAGACGAGGAGATCTCAATCATGCAGACACTCAGTACGTTTGAATATGTGAAGAAAAGCACTCACTCACCCAGTCAGTCAGGATGTGTCCCACATGCTCTGTTGACCCGTCAGGTTTTCTGGCGTCTCTGAGGCGACTCAGCAGGTCTGAGGAGAGACAGATGAAAACATGTACAGAGGTCAGGACCCAGAGCAGCGCGGACACGTCGAACAACACACATGGGCAACACAAAGTTTTTAGCTTCATTCAGAAACAGCTGCACTGCAGGAGCCTCGATACCTGAGTCAATACCAAAACAAGTTCTCCTTTTTTCCCCTCTTTTTAAATTTTATTTACATTAGAAACTTATGAATTATTAATCTGACCAGACATTTGATGCCAACTGATGGTATTCAACAGTTTTTGAGACCAATCCTGATCACACAACCTTTTTTTACATTAGATTTCATCTTTCAGTCTGTCTTTAGTGAAACATGCACACATCCCATCCCAATCAATGCTTTTTGTCAACATGAATGTTTGCCTGACAAAAAACATTCACTTCTACACGTTCACCATCTAGTGGCAACTAGAGGAACTGCGGCTCTCAGCCCTCATCAGACCTGGAACACTTAACACTGCCGGCTTCTATCTGTGAGGGCTGTGAGTCATCCAGATGTTTTTACCTTGATTTTCTTCATGGATTTACTCAGAAGGAGAGAGAGACTTTCTCTTCATAAGAGGTGCTTAATCAGACATGACACCACAATGTTGAACTGCCATCAGATAAATGTAAAGAGATGCATGTCCTAAAGGGGCTTTACACTCCTCAGGTCTGGACCTAGCGCTCAGCTGAGGAGGCTGCTGTCTGTTTGAAACGTTAAAGCCTGTTCTTCTGTGACCTTATGAGAGGCTCAGTCCTACCTTCATGCAGGGGTATCAGCGAGTCCAGAGTACCAAAGATCTGGTTGAGTTCCTGCTCAGTCATGATTGACAGCTTCAGCATCGGGTCATGGTAGGCCTGCAGCACACAAGCAAACACACACATATGAGCATACCCAGAAAATACCAGTACTGTAGAATAAATGTAAGTCCCTCAGAGACGTCCTTCAAGAAAAAATAAAGGTTTCTGTTTACCTTCTTAGCCAACTTGAGATCCTCCACCAAGTCTTGCTCGCCCTGAGCCAACTCAAATATCGCCTGCAGGGAGAGAGAGTGAGTGTGAGTAGATCGTAGTCTTGGTTATCTGTAAGTCTTAAGAGGTTTTGACGACGTTGAAAGAATATAGAATTTCCTTCTGTAGTGTTTGTTTGTTGAAAAATATCTAAAGGAAGTCAGATAATAAATGATTACAAGTTAAAACACAAAGTAAAATCCAAACAATCACAAGAGATGTTACTGTGTTTCTCACCTCCTGTCGTTTTATCTCTTTTGGACTCAGAGGTTGTGTCGCCCCCAGTCGGACGTCAAACGTCTCGCTCCAAAGCTTGCTGTCCCGGCGCTTGGCGGCTGGGGCTGTTGCCATGGAACCCCGCGTCGCTGTCATGGAGGAGGAAGGGTTGGAGACAGTCGCTGAGATAACGCGCGTCTTCATCGTCGAAGAGGAGGGTGGAGGAGGAGGAGGAGGAGCGGCTCTCTCCGTCCGACTCTCATAACGAAAACTGATGGAGCGCTGCGGAGATGGAGACGAGGTGAAACCAGACTTTTTAAAAACGCAGAAGTGTCAGCATTCATTTTTATTTTTCACTGCTTGTCGTGATAGATAGGTTCAGCATCTGGAGCCAGTGGACTCAATGATAAAACATTCTGAATTTTCTACCACTCTGGCCAGATTCGTTACCATAGCAACCGCAGCCGAGGCAGATGAGGGATGTAGTGTTATATATAAATCTATGGGATTATAATGTCCCATAGTCTTGTGTGTTTCTATGTTTATTAATATTGATGGTGTGAGTAAAAGAATGGTGAGATGGTGGAGAACATGTGGACAGGTGGAAGCCGATCTGATCAGTGGTTCACCTGCAGCGTCTGACCGATCCTCTTCAGCGGTGCGGTCTTGACGGGCGGCAGCAGGCTGGCCAGAGACGTCACCCTGGATACAGGTTTACTGCGCTTGGTGCTGGGCTCCTGTAGGAGAAAAGATTTTAATTAGGTTTACATTATGATCCAAAAACAATAGTCCTTTGATCCATGTGTGGCTTTCAGAAACACGAGAGCTGAAGTCCAGACCAAGGGTCCACGTCCTGCTCAGATGACCTTCACACAGACCTCCAGACTACAGCGCCAAGGGGGATAACATCTAAATAATATTTCATTTTGTATATTCTAGGAATTTTATGAACAAACTTTATTGAAGCCTTTATGCAAAGCCTTGAACATTTCAGGCGTCCCCAGAGGTCCCATCAAAAGAGACACTGTTGCAGGCAGTAAAGAGACAGACGTCAAGACCTCCACGTTAAAAAGTCCAAACATTCTGCAAATACAGGATTCATTTCTGGTCCATCTTCACTGTACAACCAGCAGCCTGCAGCCACTGGCAGCTTATGGAGGTCAGTGCAGGTTTTCATCAAAGATCCTAAAAAAAAAAAAACTAAACTCCAACTACAACTGAACTGAAAATTATGTGAAATGGCGATTGTCTTCCAAGTTATTTATGGACGTCCCACTTTAGATTTCAGTCCATGAGGAACACAGTGACCTGAGAATTCATCCAAAACAAAACATCGATAAACAGCATGGCTTTAAAGGAAACAGATATTATAAAACGTCACAGTCCCTATAAACACTGGACTAATTGATTAGTTGATAAAAAAAGTTTGGGCAAGAATTTCAGTCCAGTCAGTCTCAACACTGACGTCTAGTCTGAGGTTTTCAAATAGTTTGTAGACGTTCTTGCAGTTTGCGGGAAAGCTGACTCTGTTTTGTTGATATACTGCATGTTCAACAATAGTGTGATTCAAAGTCTTCCCGTCTCTGCCAAACTTTCTCACACACACACACACACACACATACACACACACATACACACACACACACACACACACACACACAGATATCAGTTCCAATATCAGGGTCTGTCTCTCTGTGTGAAAAATCCACCAGGCTGCTTGTCCTGGATACAGACTCAATAAATATCAAAATAAATCAATGTGTGTGTGTGTGTGTGTGTGTGTGTGTGTGTGTGTGTGTGTGTTTGTTTATCTAGTGTCTGCCCTGCGGCCCACAGTCAGCTGACCTACTGGAGTACAGGAACCGTCAAACTTTTTTTCCATCAGTGCTTACAGTCAGGAATCAGTCGACCAAAAATAACAAGCTCTGACGGACAGGTTTCGTTTCTGTTTGTCGTGGTCGCTCGATGGAGTCAAAGGAGTTTATCTTTCTGCAAATCTGACAACAGATTTTCCAGTTTCCAACTAAAACATAAGAGTTTTGTCTAATCTCTTGGAGGAGACTGATCATCTAAAGCTATGACTCAGTAGTGTGTCAAGTTGCAGATGGAGGTCTAATGAGTCTCTAAAATACAAAACGTAAACACCAGTTAAACTCTAATTAAAGTCTGTATGTTTTCTCTCATTTAGCCGATGATAATAATGTATTTATTAAAGATATAACTGTTGTTTTAAAAGACGGTGGGGTTCAGTGAGGATGATACATAATCTGTTTATTTGCTCTACACTTGAGAAGTTTCCACTGGACGTGTCGTAGTGGGTTTCTGTGTGTGACGGCACTTCAGCTGATTCGATCTGACAAAGATTAATTCAGTGCAGTTGATCAACAGTAGACTGGTTATCTAATATCAGCAGGTTTACAGCAGGCTGCCTGCCGTTACAGGGTGTTAACAGGCCTGACCGGAGGCGGCCCATAAACTACACTGAAACCAAGCTGAAACAATTAGCTGATAAATAAATTAGCTTTAGTATCAATCAGTTATTCAGTTGGCTGTAGTCAGTGTTGTAGTCAATTCACTAAACTTGAGTCCAAGTCGAGTCTCAGTTCACAAGTCCAAGTCAAGACAGGAGTCCAGAAAATCAGGACTGGAGGCAGACTCGAGTCCGAGTATTAAATTTGATAAAATGACATTAAATCAGACTAGATTAGACTAATAAATTGTAATTAGTTGCAATATCAGGGCATTTTACCAGTTCACCAAACTAAACTAAAATAACTGATTTTAATTTGGCTGCATTTCCTCTGTCTTACCTCAACCTGTTTTCCCATGTTGCTGTTCCCTTTGCTGAACTCCAGAGAGCATCCAGACTTAAACTGCTGTACCAGCAGGCAGAGGGGGTTCTGCCCCGCCACCATACTGCTCACACCAAAGCCCAGCACAGGATCTGGACCATTTCCAGAACCAAGAGAGAAATAGTTTTAAAAGTGTGTAGGATGTCCAGGAAGAGATTGGTGCTGGTAGAGCATCCAGGTGTGAATGTTCAGAAGAGGTTGATAAGGAGTCTGGAAATAGTCTGATACAAAGATTTACAATCCAGTAGAGAGTTTAGAAGGAGTCTGGTATTGTTACGAGCGTCCAGTAAGAGTCTGGAAACGACAGAGCATCCAGTAAGTGTCTAGAAAAACTGTAAGGTGTCAAAACAGAGTGTGATACTTACAGAGCAAGTATAGCACCAGTAAAGAGTACAGAAGCTGAGTGGTCCAAATGGGATTTAGTGCTTGTGGGAAATATCAGCAACACTAATAAAGAATCCACAAGGAATTCAGAGAGTCCAGAGAAAGCCAGGTTCTGGTTCTGTGTTCAGGACGCAGCTGGTATTGATAGACGGTCCAGAAAGAATCCAATAACTTAATTGTCCACAAATGATTTGCTACCAGCAAGTTTCCAGAAATGTCTGACTGAGCGTCAAACAAGTCTTCATTACTTTGCCAGTATCCATAAAGCTCATCCCAGAACTCAGACAGAACTTGGTGCCAGTAGAGTTTCTGGCAACAATCTGGTTCTTCACAAGCATCCAGAAAACGTTTGGTATCAGTTTTGTCCCAGAAGTTAAGTCCGATCAAACAAAGGATCAATACCAGTGAAGATTCTGGATTCTGGATCAAGCAAAGTTTCCTGAGAACTCGTCTCTGGTAGCGTCCTGAAAACGTGCGGTGCTGTCAGAGGGCCGACAGGAGCAGAACATCTGGATCCAGCTCAGTACCAGCAGCGCCGCAAAGAGCTGAGCTTTCAGACGGATAAGTGAAGTCAATTTTCTTTTTTAAATCCCTGTTGACGCGCTTTCTGGCTCTCAGTGATGATCGCGCCCCTCCTGACTCTCCCTCTGTTTTAAAACTCACAGCTTGCTCATGCTCTCTCTCTCTCTCTCTCTCTCTCTCTCTCTGACTCACTAATTCACTGGCTCACTCATCCACTCACTCATTTTACTTCCTTCCTCTCTTTCTCCTTTCCCCCACCCCCACCCACTTTTCTGAGCTTTTGCAAAAACAATAAGATTTATATAAGGTTTACATTTTTCTTGTTGTTACCATAATCCCATGAAAGGACCCGAAAACAACAATGAATTGATCTTTCTAATGAGCATCGCGTTTGTGTCCAAAGCCTGATATATCTTATTCCTCTCTGCCGTGCAGCTCCATTGTTGTATGAAAATATTATAAACACATGCACTGGGAGACATGCTCCTCATCACCATGAACGCTCAGTTTATTTTGACTCAATCTCACACACAAAGTCCTGCTGCTGGAAATACTCTCTGGAGCAAAAAAATGTGTACTAATCCGCCACTGAAAATAGTCCCCAACAAATACACTATTTCCTCCTGTTTGAATAAAGTTTGCTAAAAACATCAGGTGTTTTAGGAAATTACCGAGCCTTTAAAAAAAAATATTAACAATACATTTTGTCAACCATTTTTTTTTTAAATATTAACAAATGGGCTTTGGGTTTAGTGCGAGTGACATGAAGTCAGCAGGTCGGGCCAAATGTACTTTGGTCCAGCTGCTGTTAGTTTTAACCACCATAATGCATCATAATTAAACCTCATCAAAGGGTTTAAAAGCAAAACTAATTAAATGAGCAAAGTAGCAATAAAAGGAAAACTCATATAAAGTACAAAGTTGCACCGTACACAGTATCATGACCCTTCCTGCTACTGGAGCTGATACTGGGGCTGCTGGTGGTGCTGGGACTTCACTGCTCAGTTCATCATCAATCAATGTCAATCTGAGCTGTAATTATCAGAGAGAGAGAGAGAGAGAGTAGCCTGCGGGCGGTCAGCGCTATGTCCTGGTTTTCCAGTAGTTTTCAAGTCAGTTACTGTGTTACTGAGCGCCCATGTTTTAGTTATAGAGCTAACTAACAATTATTTCCATTATTTATTAATCTGTGGATTCTTCAAAATGTCCATGAGTGGTGAAAACCATAATTAGTAAATCATAATTTACTAAGGCCTAAGGGGATGATATCAGACATTTGCCAACAATCCAAATTACAAAGATATTCAGTTTATGATCTCATAAGACAAACTGAAGCAGCAAGTCAAATGATTAATCAATTATCAAAATAATTGCAGATTAATAAAAATAAAATGAAGATTTGCTGCTTTTCTCTGTTTTTCATCTTTGTAAACTCCATATTTTTGGGATTCAGATTGATGGTTGGACAACAGAAGACATATGAAGGCGACATCTTGGGCTCTGGGAAATTATAACATTGATAATGAAAATAATAATTAGTTACATTAGTAAGTAGTCGTTTTAAAAATAGCCAAAATAAGGAAAGAGAGACACATACAGTATGTCCTGGATCAGATGTAGTAACAAGGAAACAGAATAACGTTGATCTTTATGTTATTTTTAGAAACGTTTCCATGGTTTTTCTTTGAAAGCGGTGAGTCACATCATCATCACTGACCTCTGACATGACATGAAACACACCTAATGTCTTGCTGACAATAGCAGCCCCTCTGATTCAGCTCATTGTCTGTAAATAGGACATTGGGTCATGGACGCCCAGAGACGACCACAGTCAAACAGACTCAAGCCTCTCATCTGGACTGTAACTCATTGACTGTATGCCCATACATTAGAGTGAGATCTTTAAATGACGTCTTATAAAATATGAATAGAAATCGCCAAATGCTTAAATTTCTGAGAACTGGTAACAAACCTTCAGACAGTCGAAACCTACAAAGACGAGACATAATCAAAAGGGACACTCTTCAAATCCTTTACCAACACAAAATTGTGCATCTTTCTGCACTGTTTTGTATTTCGTATCACTCTATAGGCGTCAAAGGGTATTGATGGCAAAACTACGGTGGCCCTGAAAGCTCAATGCACTGCAGCTTAAAATACACACAAATGGAGAAAACACAACTGAACTAACAAAACATCTTCATCAAATTGACAACACATGCGCAGCATTCAGAAAAAATCCTGAAAATGAGAAAGAACAAATATAGACATGAACTACAGATACTGAAAACACAACCAAATACAGAAAACAAAAATGGAAATGGGCTTCCATAAAATTTTTTTACTAATATTACTTTAAAAACTTTAAAACTATCTAAGAAAATAAACCTGCCTGCTTTTATTCTGAAGGCCACACAGCTATAACAGAAGTCTCTTTGTTTCCTTGAGAAAAAGTCGTCTTTGCTGTTGCCAAATAAAAGTGTCTTCTCACACAGTTTTCTAATCTTGGTTCACTAAACAAAATCAATAACTGTTAATCAACCATGTGACCCCGAGGCGCTCAGCAGATTTTAATTAACCAGTGAAAAAAATCAATAACCATTCTAGTGCCAAACACAAACCTCCACAGTGAATAAGTGACATGTTGAAACGACAGCTGGACTCCTCTGACCATCCGGTTCACCTGTAGAGCAGCAATGACCGGTCGACTGATCAATTAGTGAAATATCAATCAGCAACTATTTTGATAATCCACTGATTTTTCATTCATTTCATTTTCAAAAAAAATGCCAAACAATGTTCAGCGTCTCCATCGTGAGGATTTGTTGCTTTTCTGTAAACTGAATAACTTTTGATGATGTCAGCAATGTCTAAATGTGATTTATACATGAAACTATTAGTCATTCAGTCGAAAAAAGTAATCAGCAAATTCATCAATAATAAAAATAATTAGTTAGTTGCAACTCTACTTACACCATTTATAATTATCTGTATTTCAATAAAGTATTACTGTATAATTTCTGTATATATTCATGATCCTGAACTTTTTATTTTACTAGTAAGTTAAACTGTCATATGGAATATCTGAGTTTCTGAGTATCAGTAAATCTTTTTATACTGTAATTTATATGTTTTAATATTTTACAAACAGTGGTGAAAGAAATACTCTGATTTTTTTAACTTAGATTTTATTTACATAAAAATACAAAAGTATTACTTTCAAGTACTCATTATGCAGAATGGCACATTTCAGAATAATAGATATCTCATTATTGGATTAAAATTATTATTGTATTAATGTGTACATCAGTGTCATGTTGCAGCTGGTAAAGTTGGGGTTGATTTTATTGCTGGGTATCATTTATTTGTTAATTATATTTTGTATATTTTGTAAGTGACTAAAGTTGTCAAATAAATGTAAAGGAGTAAAAGTACAAATATTTCCCTGTATATAAAGTATAAAATGAAACTGCTATTAGAAGTACCTCAAAACTGTACTTAGGGAAAGTACCTGAGTAAATATTAGTTACTGTCAAAAAATGAATTAACCTTTCATCTGATTTAATTCATCTCCACTCCAGACAGAGATAGTGTTGCTCCAGAACTGAATATTTTCATATAAAATATGAAGCTCTGTCATAACGTTTGACCCTTAAATCTGATAAGGTGGTCTCCAGGTCCTGGATTTTCAGTAAAAGCACAATGTGACTGTATGTGACTCACTGAGCCAGAGGGAGTAACAGTAGAGAAACAATAGAGTGTAATTTATTCCTGGTTCAGTATCTGCCAACGCTGGTTTGTAACGGCACAAAGCTGCCGGTGTGTTTGGGTCTATTTGTCACACTGGAGTGTATTGAACAGGGTGGACATCCTGTGTTAGACTGAGCCGAGAGGGAAACGCCCGGGAAGGAACGGGCTGCTGGCAGAGGGCTAAAAACAGACAGGGGGTCCAACATGAGGGCCGAGGCCCCCGAGGGTCCGCATGTACAATAATCAACAGTCAGAGCTGAATGGAGTACATGCCCTCTGCTTTATGCTTTTCCTACATTTCAGTTTTCATTTTCAGTCATTATTATTATTATTATCATTATTATTATTATCTTAATACAAAACCTAAATTATATAATAAATCACAGTTACTGTCCAGTCAACAAATATTTATTATCCTGATGCATGTAGCTGCCTGTTAGCCCATCATAAATCCTATTTAATCAATCAAATCAATAAACCATTATTTGTCTAACACCTTACAGACGACTGACAGGCTAATAATAAAATGATAATAAACCCAATGAAAATATTTTTAAAGGAGCTTTTTGTAAGTTTTGTTATTGCTAAGTAGCTAGCATTAGCATTAACAGCAGTCTGGAAGAAACGAAAGAAAGAAACAAGAGCTGTCTCCAGGCGTGGAAAGAAAATAAACTCTTATCTATGTATCACTCCTTCTCTTCTACTGAAGTTAGCATGCTAACCAGCTAGCCCCGGTCCGGCCAGATCGCCTCATCACTTTCCAATACCAAGTCACTGTAGTGTCCAGTCTGCCCTGAATCACAGTGACAACATCTGGCCCCACACAGACAAATAAACATCTGTGCTCAACACCACCTCTGTGCGACTGAACTTCTCCTTCTGTTAAGTCAGTCGAATGACCACAAAGAGACTCAAAACACGTACAAAGACACTGAACACTGAAGTTACTCCCCCAAACACTGCAACCATAGAATCAGGAAGTATTAGTCCTTGTCAAAGTAAAAGCTTTTCTGAGACATTTCAACACAAGTTTGTGTAAACTCAAGCTGACACCACACGCTGAGACACAACAGACATGTTAGTTTACAGGAGCTGAACTCACGTTGATGTCCAGACTGCAGAGACTGAGGGAGTCTGCATCTCTGCTTGCCTGCTTCCTCTTCTTCTGCAACACAAAAAGACACACAGCAAACACGATGTTAGAGGTAGAACAGGAAACGTGAAGTGATGCTTTTGATTTCACAGTGAATCAAATGACTCAAATATAACAGATGATGAAGCTCCAAACCTGCAGCTCTGGCAGCTTTTAGCTCAGTGCTTGTTACAGATTGGTCAGTTTGCACAGTTCATTTCCATCTACGACCAGACTGGGCTGCAATTAATGATTATTCTTATATCATATCAATTAATCTGCGAAATATTTTGGGAAATACCCGAGTAAAGTACAAGTACCTCAAAATTGTATTTCAGTCCAGTACATGAGTAAATGTACTCACTAATCATAAGATCATGATGATTTGTTGGTTTTCAGTAAATGGTCCCACATTCCTCACAGATTTTGTGTGGGCCAGGCTCAACCTCTGTGGTAACCATGGCAACCACTATTTATGTGGCGGGAAGCTGCGCAGGTGCATGAGAATGAACAAAACAGTTCCCGTGCGCCGCCGTGACGACAACAACAGGAAGAAATCACACAAACACCTGATGAACCAGGTCAATGAGGACAAAGGGCTGGGAGAGGAGGAGGGGAGGAGGAGGAGAGGAGGAGGAGAGGAAGAGGAGGAGGAGAGGAAGAGGGGAGGAGAAGAGGAGGGGAGGAGAGGAGGAGGAGAGGAAGAGAGGAGGAGAGGAAGAGGAGGGGGAGGAGGAGGAGGGGAGGAGGAGGAGAGAGGAGGAGAGGACGGAAGAGGAGGAGGAGAGGAAGAGGAGGAGGAGAAGGAGAGGAGGAGGAGAGGAGAGAGGAGAGGAGGAGGGAGGAGAGGAAGAGGAGGAGGAGAGGAAGAGGGGAGGAGAAGGAGGAGAGAGAAGAGGAGGAGGAGAGGAAGAGGAGGGAGAGGAGGAGAGGAAGAGAGAGGAGGAGAGGAGAGAGGAGAGGGGAGGAGAGGAAGAGAGGGAGGAGAGGAGAGGAGAGGAGAGGGAGGGGAGGAGGAGGGGAGGAAGGAAGAGGAGGAGGAGGGAGAAGAGAGGAGGAGGAGGAATGGAGAAGAGGAGGGGAGGGAGGAGGAGGAGTGGAGGAGGAGAGGAAGAGGGGGAGAGGAAGGAGGAGGAGAGGGAAGAGGAGAGAGGAGAGGAAGGAGGAGGGTGAGGAGGAGGAGAGGAGAGGAGAGAGGAGAGAGGAGGAGGAGGAGAGGAGGAGAGAGGAAGGGGAGGGGAGGAGGAGGGGAGGAGAGGAAAGAGGAGGAGGAGGGAGGGAGGAGGGGAGGAGGAGGAAGAGGAGGAAGGATGGGGGAGAGGAGGAGGAGAGAGAGAGGGGAGGAGAGGAGAGGAAGAGGAGAGGAGAAGAGGGGGAGGAGGAGGAGAGGAGGAGGAGGGAAGAGGAGGAGGAGAGAGAGAGGAGAGAGAGGAGGAGAGAGGAGGAAGGAGAGGAGATGGAAGAGGAGCGGGAGAGGGGACGAGGAGGGAAGGAGGAGAGAGGAAGAGGAGGGAGGAGGAGGAGAGGAGGAGGAGATGAGAAGAGGCAGAGGGAGGAGAGGAAGAGGAGGGGAGGAGAGGGAGGAGAGGAAGAGAGGGGAGCGAGGAGGAGAGAGGAGTGAAGGAGGAGGAAGAGGAGGGGAGAGGAGAGGAGGAGAGAGAGAGGAAGAGGAGGGGAGGAGGAGGAGAGGAGAGTTGGAGGAGAGGAGAGGAGAGGAGGAGGAGGAGGAGAGGAGAGAGAGGAGGAGGAGAGGAAGAGAGGAGGAGGAGGGGGGAGAGAGGAAGAGGAGGGAGATGGAGGAGAGGAGGAGGAGGAGAGGAAGAGGGAGGCGAGGGAGGAGGAGAAGAGAGGAGAGAGGAAGAGGGGAGGAGAGAGGAGGAGAGGAGAGGAGAGGAGGGGAGGAGGAGGAGAGGAGGAGGGGAGGAGAGAAGAGGAGAGGAGGAGAGAGGAGGAGGAGAGGAAGAGGAGGGGAGGGAGGAGGGTGAGAGGAGGAGAGAGGAGAGGTAAGAAGAAGAGGAGGAGAGGAAGGAGCCGGGAGGGAGAGGAGGAAGGAAGGAGGAGGAGAGGAGAAGGAGGAGAAGGAAGAAGGGAGGGGAGGAGGAGGGGGAGGAGGAGGAGGAGAGAGAGAGGAGAGGAGAGGAGAGGAGAGGAGGAGAGGAGAGGAGGGAGAGGAGAGGAGCGAGGGAGGAGAGGGAGGAGAGAGGAGGATGGGAGGATAGAGGGGAGGAGAGAGACGGGAGGAGAAGAGCAGTGGAGAGGAGGAGGAGAAGAAGAGGGGAGGAGAGGTAAGAGGAGGGGGAGGAGGGAGGAGAGGGGAGAGGAAGAGGAGAAGAGGAGGAGAGGAGTGAGAGGAGGAGGAGCAGGAGAGGAGGAGAGGGGAGGGGAGAGAATAGAGGGGAGGAGGAGGGGGAGAGGAGGAGGAGGAGGAGAGGAGGAGAGGACAGCAGAGGAGAGGAGGAGGAGAGGAGAGGAGGAGAGGAGGAGAGGAGGAGGAGAGGAAGAGGGGAGGAGGAGAGGAGGGGAGGAGGAGAGGAGAGGAAGAGGAGGAGGAGAGGAAGAGGGGAGGAGAGGAAGAGGGGAGGAGAAGAGGAGGAGAGGAGGAGGAGACGAGAGGAGAGGAGAGGAGAGGAGAGGAGAGGAGAGAGGGAAAAAGGAAAAAAGGAAGGAGGGGGGAGAGAGGAAAGGTGAGGGAAAAGGAGGGAGGAGAGAAAAGGGATTTAGTGAGAGGAGGATTGGTTCAAAGACATGAAGGTGGGAAAGAAGGAGAGGAGAGAAGAGGAGGAAGATGAGAGAGGAAGAGAGGAGGAGAGGAGAAAAGAGGACATGAATAGGAGGAGGAGGAGGAGGAAGAGAGGAGGATGTGCGACCAGTGTAGCGGAGTGTAACAATAGCAGGAAGTCTGCTGTTTGTTCAGTATTGTGTTGAGACTTTGTTGTTGTCCGGACGTTATATAACCTGGCAGACTTTACCTTTAACTCCCTGTTGCTATGGAAACCAGAGAGGAGGAGGAGGAGGAGGAGGAGGAGCAGTCTGCTCCTCCTGACCATATTAGGTCTGTCCTCTAAAAATCACAGTTACCTATTCCTACCTAAGTTTGTTGATAAATCTCCTCTGGACGCGCGACACAGACAACCGATCTTACAGAAATTCATTCTTACATGAATCTGCAGCGACTAACTCAGGTCTAAAATCAGCTGACAGTGTCACCCCTCCTCGTCCCTCTGCATGCCCCTACTCAAAAAGTGGATTGTGTACTGAAAAGAAAGTTTGGAAGATCCCCACTGACTTGACTAACTCTTGTCCCGTAAAAATGATGTTTATATCCAACTAATTTGCATTTGGAAATTCAGTCAAGCACTTCTGAAAAACTATTGGACGGATTCCCATTGAACATTTTGTACAGATGGGTCATGGTTCTCATGGTTCTCCTAAAACCACAAACTAACTACTAAGAAAGCAAATAAGATTATTTACCAAACTGAAAATATTCTTTTAAAAATTCCAAATGCATTTTTTGCACACAACTCTAAAACTAACCCTAACCCAAAAAGGATTTTATCCTCTCATCACTTCAAGAAGGAATTTCTTTGTACATATGAGCACACACATGTGTGTACTGTTTTAAGTCAGAATGAAAAATGAGGATGTAAACTTTAATATATTAAATATCTGAATAATGTAACACAGTGTACCTAAAAAAAAATCATTGACAGTTTTTGGTCAATATTGATATATAATATCAGTATTTTTTGGTTTGTTTTTTTGTTTTTGTTTAATGTCAGTTGCACTGGAAAGTGATCCGTGTTGTGTTGGGTAACGTCCCATTTGCTCTTGACCTCTTGACCTTTACGTAACCTGGCTTACCTGGTTTACCTGTGTACCTGTGTACCTGTGTACCTGACACATCGCACGCAGATGGAGCAGAGTGAACAGTTATTGAACAGTGTAACTGATGCATCGTGGTATTCAGAGTCTGTGATGAGCCTCCGTGTGAAGACGTCCACATGCAGTAAAGTGTAACCCAGTAGTCTCTGGGTCTCTGAGAGATACTGGAGATAAATCTGACTCTGGGCCGTGTGCGAAACATTTAAAAAAAAACTATGAAGCAACAGACACATGGAAGAAGAAGAAGACGACGGTTCTGCAGGTTCTGTGCTCTCATCTATGTAAACCTGCTGCTCATTATCACTGACAGAAACGGTGGGAGACACTGGAAATGACACACGGACTCAAACTCACCCGATAGTAAACAAACAGACAGCAGCCCATCATCAGGACCTGATCTGCTTCTCAAACACAGCTCGAGCGTTTCAGTTGACTCTCTCTGCAAACATCTGCTGCTCCTCTTCCTCCACGTCGCCCTGTTTTAAACCCCACAGTCACATCAGCTCTCCTTTCTTTTTCTCCTCCTCACGTGCAAGTCAACATCTGCAGTCACTTCTTAATTCTCCTCCTCTTGTTGCCTGATTTCTCTCTCCTCCTCTGAATCACCTCCTTCACAGTCACATTGCTATTTTCCTCTTTCTCCGTCCGTCTTGTTTCCTTTTCTCGTCTCTCCTTCCTCCAGTTTCTCTCCTCCAGTGCTACTCCGAGAGCTGCTTCTTCTTCTCCTTCTCCTCAGTCAGACTTTCAGAAGCTCCTTTCTCTCCTCTTTCTTTTCTCACTTCTCCTCCCGTTTTCTCCCTTCTTCTGTCCGCTGCCTTCCTCCCTTCTCCACCTCATCAGGTCACAGTCTGAGTGGATCTACAGACCCTCAGGAACAGGAACCCTTCACAATGTGTGTGTGTGTGTGTGTGTGTGTGTGTGTGTGTGTGTCCACTCAGTTCCCATTGGACAAACAGGAAGTGACGGTCGTTGGGGGAAACAGGCGTCTATAATTAGGAGCTACAGGAGACACCGAGACACCAGCGGTAGAGACACTGACACACAAAGAACATGAGCGCTGGTTTATAAAAATCAAAAGTTTGTACTTTTTTTGCAGTGAGTCATAGTTTTAGTCATTAATGGTTTGAGTTTCACTAGCAGCCCTAACGATGGCGATGTGGTTCACTCAGTCCACCGCTTTGATCCAGACTCACACATCTTATATATACACCTCTGTTCAAAAGTTTTAGATTTTTATTTATCAATTAACTTCATGCAAAGTGCAGTAAAACAAAAAAACCTAAATCAGACCACCTGCTGCAGGACTCCTTCTTCTTCTTGTCTCTGGAGACTGTCCTGCTGCAGAATGAATCTAGGACCAATCAGACGCCTCCTGAATCTAAATATCAAGTGCCTATAACTTTTGCCCATTATTGTAGATGTGAAATATAATTTTTCCCACATTTTAATTTACATTGCATTTATGTTTTATCAAAGAATAAGATATTGGTTAATGCTCTTTTCCATAATAATGGTAATATGATAACAAACACTATGTAAACCTTATACTTTCTGTTAATATTGAAATATTATTTTTTCAATTATATTTTAACCCAAAGAAATACCGGTGGGCGTCGGCTGTTTTCTCAGCCCTGAGTAGGGACTGCAGGTATTCAGCGAGCAGTCCGCCACTTTGGTTCAGACTGAAATATCTCAAAAACTATTGTGTGGATTGTCCTGAGATTTCATGCAGATATTTAAGGTTCTCTGAGGATGAATCCCTCTAAAAATAGTTACAGTACATCTCATACAACTCCTGCTAAAACCACAAAGCAAATAGGCTTCTTCACCAAAATGAAAATATTCTTCAACAACACAGAAACATAATCACTTCTGGTTTGTTAAAGGAATATGTACTTTGGTAAATTCACTTATTTGTTGCTTTATCTGTTTCTTACTACATTACCAGTTATCTGTCATTGAGGAAACTACAGTAAATGTGAATAAAAACTGGTGACACATATTTGAAAATCAGATTCTGCTTTCCTTTTTTTCTCTTGGTGTGTGATATTAGAGCCATGAACACTGAGGTGTTGAGGTCTGAGTGGAGGCTGTTCACCTCCATCTCCTCCTTTGTTATTTGGGATTATGGCGTCACGTTGTTGTGCATTCTGCTGTAATAGAGCTGCACAGTTGTGAATAACATGAATCAGTTTACATGGGAGATTTGTTCTTACCCCTCTGAGGGACCAGCCGTCAGGAGAGAAGAGAGAGGGAGGGAGTTTTCTTCTGCAGCTTCGACCTGATGGAAGGACACGGAGAAGGGATGAAGGGGGAAAAGAGGGAAGGAAGAAGGGACAAATGAAGGGAGGGGAGAAGAGGAAAAGATGGGAGGAAGGAAGGAAGGAAGTAGGACAGTAGCAGAGAGGAGAAGGAAAGAAAATGAATCGATAAATAATTGTTGAAATAATCAGAAATCAATCAATAATGAAAATAATCGCTTGTTACAGTTAGTGTGCCTGAAGAGATCACAGCCAGTGTGAACAGGAGCAATGATTTCAACCACCAGTGATGCTTCATTGTACACATGAGAATGAAAATAGACTCGAGAAGGTCTAAACCACTGATTTAAATCTTCAATCTAAGAGAAGAATTGATACGCAGCCTGAGAGACTCGACTCTGGGCAAAAAGCCCATTTCTTCTGTATCTGTCCAGTGCTTGTACATTGTTGTTGTTGTTGTTGTCTTTCAGTTGCTCCCATGAGGGGCGGCCACAGCGGATCACCATCTGCACATTTGATTTGGTTTTATGCCGGATGCTCTTCCTGACGCAGCCTGTGTTCATCAGGAAGGGGAGTCTGGGGAGTCCGGGATTGAACCACCAAACCAGGGATCAGCAGCCAAGCTGCTCTCCCACCTGAGCCCCCCTCACTGAAAGGGTATTGTAGCTTAGGTTTGAGTTTGACCACAGCTCCTCCTTGTGGTTCCCGTCAGTCAGTACATGTAGATCATAAACAACCAGCTCTGATTCTGATTCACTGTAACTCCAGACCACCACGTGCTGCAATTCAGAATGTGTGGAAACTAGTTTCAACCAGGCAGAGACGTCCAATTAGATAAAAGTGATGCACAGTCGTAACGTCCCGCTTCTTCCACGTGAAAGCACAAACGTAAACCTGAGTCTAAGACATCAGGACTTGAAGGGATCTCTGTGCACTGTGTCTTGTATGAAATAAATATGATCAAAGTATCTCTTTACTTTACTGCACTGCAGAGAGTGAAGCAGACAGAGAGGAAACAGAAAGTCAAAGAGGTCAGCAGCCTCGCTTACTCCCAACACATTAGTGCTGTTCTGTTTCCTGCCCTGTGTCACCTCACCTGAGAGAGGAAACACACACACACACACACACACACGCACCAAACAACCTCTGCAGCTCAACCTCTACTCTCACTTCTTCGCTACAAAGAACACTGTAACATGATCTGAATCTCTGTGATTGGATGATTCTTACAGCAATGCCCTCTGGGACTTGTAGTCCCAGTAAAAGTTGTTCTGGACAGAGTCTTGTTCCTTCTTTGTTTTCTTTTAATCACTGATCAGATTTTTTTTTTCAGCCCACTGACTCATTGTGTTTAACGATGATTCAACCATCACAGGAACCTTTGACGCTTCGTATAACCTCCCTCCACGGCCTCCACCAGGCTCTGAGGCACAAACCCTGCTGAACCTCTGCACTGTGTCTCAGACAGGACAAGCTTTTGCACAGACAAATTCAGACCGATGATTTGACAGCAAGTGCATTTGATGAGATTTGCATGAAAAAACACCCTTTCTAAACTCCATTACTGTGTATCAATAACATACCACATACAGTATATACTGTACTGTGAACTAAATGTCAACAACATACTCTAACAGGAGATGGTACAATATGAGCTCGGATACATCTCAATCAAACTGCAACTTTTAAAGGCCAATAAACTTCACAAATAAACTTGAGAATGTTTTTGTTTTTTTCCAAGGATTTAAAAATTACTTCTGTTTTCCTCAGTGTTCGAGAAGTTGTTTCACCACCATCCACCACATGTTCTAATCTGTTGCAGCTGTGAGCGGCTCTTCCACTTCAGAGGCAGAGGAAACATCGCACAGAGGGAAGAATGGATTCCACTAAATATCAGCAAATTTGTCGACGCAAAACGACCTGCAGTGAGTCAAGAGAGTGAAACGGAGAAGAAGCTGTTTTTTTCTACAACAGAACAATGATCAAAAGCAGATCTCAAAATCCACCATCAACCCCTGACCTGAACATCACTGAAACTCTGTGTGACGATCTTTAACACGCCGTGTGCGGGACAGCCTGACAGAACCTGAAGTGATTGGTTGAAAATGTCTAAATTCAGAATAAAAAGACTCTTAGCTGCTACAAAATGTGTTTTCGAGGTTTGATATTTGCCAAAGAAGAGTTACTAATATCGACTCAACCGGGTGCCCAAACCTTTGCAAACAACTGTCCATGTGATGAGCATAAACAACCTCCGCTGCACCATCTCTCCCACCTTGATGCAAGTGGGTTTGGGTGGAGCCAGGGAAACGGTACAAATGCTCGAGGAAAATTACGTAACATGTGTGTTTCTTACTGCTGAACTTGCACTGGCAGGAAAACAGAGCCCCAGCAGTAAAAGAACAACTTGTTTTCTGGTGATCCGTCCGGGCAGGATTGTGCAGCGTTGTCGGATCATTTGAACGAGCACCACACGGGACACAACACAGCTCAGTGTGTAGTGATGGACTCAGAGCGACTCTGTTGTCACCAGATGTTAAAGAGACAAGTGCTTTATCAACAACCCTGAAACTTCCAAACAGACACTTGTTCTTCATTTCAGTCTGACCAAAGCTTTGTATTCTGTGTGTGTCTGTGTGTGTGTGTGTGTGTGTGTGTGTGTGTGTGTGTGTGTGTGTGTGTGTGTGTGTGTACATTACAAGTGTTTAAATATGTGTGTGACTCATTCATTCCTAGGACTTGCAGTGCTTTTTCCAATAGCACAAATCAACACACCCTCGACGTGCACACACATACACACACACACACACACACACACACACACACACTTTTCTCCCTCCTAGTCTTTCTTTTATTCTCCTTGTTGAATCTTTTACCCCCCATCTGTTTTTAATCTCTCTCTCTCTCTCTCTCTCTCTCTCTGTCAGTAAACATTCAGTCTTCAGATGTAAACAGGGTGTCCTGTGTTCAGAAAGAAGCTGAGAAGCTCATGTGAAGAGCCTCACTTTAGTAAAGCTAACACAGTGTTTCACAGACTCTGGTTTGTTTTATATGTTGTTGATTGTTTTGATAGTTTTGAGTCGGTTGAAGTTAGGTGTGTGTGTGTGTGTGTGTGTGTGTGTGTGTGTGTGTGTGTGTGTGTGTGTGTGTGTGTGTGTGTGTGTGTGTCCGAGGCCTGAGATATTCCTCTGGGCCAAAGAGCTCCACTGTTGTTACCAACTATTAAAATCACATCACTGAGCTGCACTGTTGCCCTGACTGACATGTTCCTTCGTTACCATGAACACACACTGTAGTTTACTTTGACTTAGTCCCACATACACTGTCCTGCTGCTGTTAATACTCACTTATGTTAATTGTGGATTAATCCGCCACTGAAAATAGTCCCCAACAAAAGCACTATTTCCTCCTGCTCGAGTAACATTTGCTAAAAACTGTGGTGATCAGCTGTTTTGGGAAGTTACTGCAGCTTTTTAAAATCTGAATTTAAATATTTGTGAG